CACGACCCTTTCAGATACCTATATGTCTCTATAAGATTGACTCTGAGTCTCCTTCAAGCTGAAAAGACCCAGCTCCTCAATCTCATCTTATATGGCATCCCCCTCATTCTTGTGACCCTTCCCTGAACTGATTCTAACCTAGCTATGGCTCTTTGATAATGTGCAGCCCAGAATTGGGCACAGTACTCCAGTTGTGGGTTCACCACAGTCTTACAGAATGGTATAAGCACCTCTCTTGATCTGGAAGTCACACTTCTACTTATACATCCAAGGGTGGTGTTAGCTTCTTAACCATTACTTCACACTGCTAGCTCATATGTTTAACCTGCTGTCAATAAGTACCCCAAGATCCCTTTCCCAAGTGCTGCTCTCCAGCCACTTGTCCCCCATCCTGTACCTATGGCACCTATTCCTGAGTAACAAGTGCAAGATCTTGCACTTATCTGCATTGAATGCCATCCTATTCCCTGCCCATTTCCATAGTCTGTCCAGACTCTTTTGGATCTGGAGTAACTGCTCCCCAATTATGGCCACCACCCCCACTTGGTATCATCTGCGAATTTAGTCAGCAGACTGGTTATCCCCCTCCTTTAGGTCATTGATAAAGAAGTTGAACAGAATCAGTTTCAGGACTGAACTTTGGGGAACTCCACTCATCACCTGCTAGATGTACTGCTTAAGTCAAAATTTCATGTGTAGGAAGAAAAATGTTGGAAAAGTTCAAGATGTTTTTTTTTCCTTTCTGTCTTACATTAATTAAAATTACTTGGTGCTGAAAGGACATGCTACACAGATAAAAGTATTGTTCGAACTATGGTGAATGCCATGTTTGCAAAAAATACATGTATGCTTGTAACACTACCTGCAAGCCAGCCATTCCTGGACAATCATTTCCAGATTTAGTCCAAATTTTAGTGTTTGTTTCTAATAATTGTAGATTCTACAATGGGCTTTTGATTGTAAGCAGCCTTGCATATTACATACAAACTGTATTTTGGAAACTGAAGTCTTACAAGAAGAGCAAAGGATTGACTCTTTCTATCCCATGCTTTAGCATTGTTCTGTACTTACTGCATTTATTATTTTAAACTACCTTTGCCTGAAGATGCAAAATAATTAAGATGTGGATTGGTAACCAACTGGGACATTTGGATTTCATATATAGGAGTCAGATTTGGTCCAACTTTCATTGTATATTTAAAATCTGAGTTTGTTGTTCTGATTCCTGGCCAGGCTGCATGGACTGATCTCTCTCCCTATTACATGTATGTCACACTTGGTCATCATTTAAACAAACTGAGTAGTCAGGGAAGAAAAAACATAATATCCCATGGGATATACTAGCAATGATCTCACACTCTGTACCTACGGATTTGCAGTGTGGCCAGAATGAAGCAATAGTGTGAGCGTGGGAAGTTGGGTTGAAGAAGTTTGCATTCATGAACTTGGCAGCTTTATGTGATAGGCAGAGCCAAACTCTTTGGTAAAGAGGGTCTCTGGGGGGCTTAAACCAAAATTATAAGAGGAGGGTGGTCTATAGGTTCATCACAGTTCCTCTGGTAAAGGTTGACTTAATATTTTCAGAGCTCTTGCAATAAAGTCTTTTACCCTTGTTGTAATCCAACTCTGCAGTTTGCATTTACAGACATACCTACAACCAGCTGAGCAAAATTTAGTTCTTAAATCTTGCTCTTTTCATGTTGCATTAGTCAGGAGTTCTAATTAAAAATGTTATGAATTTAACACATGTATACATATTTATCACTATCTTTAAGAAACAAAAGTTGCAAAACTATTTTTGAATTTCGGGGGTAACAATGACTGGGCAAATGTAATCCTTTTTGGCATGTATTCACTGCACCCCACACACAGGCATACCCTTGAAGCAGAGTAGAATCTGACAGTCTACCTTCTTAGATAAGAGCATGCACACCTGCCTTTTTTTTTTTTTTTAAGTTAGCCTTAAAATTGGGATTGCAGAGTTTTTATATGCTGCTGGTCATTTGCATACCTTATACATTTGCATCCACAATCTGTACCTATGGCTAACATCACACATGCCATTCACTTTTTATATCCTTTAAAAAAATAGTTGGTGAATACATAGCAGGGTTGGAGGACTCTTCTAAAAGAGGAATGGAGTCATGCTTTGGGGTCTGTACAATGGCACTTTGGAATGACTTGCATCCATTCTAATAATCTCCTATTCTGCTGCTTTAATGAGTGAGATCTGTTAAGTTGGCAGGCCTGAGGTGCAGTGAATGAACACACAGAAAATCTTCTGGCAGGAAGCATCCTAGCTGACAAGGAGAATACCTGTGCACCACTAAAGGAAAACAATAGAGGCAATCATAGGATTCATAGGATCTCTTACATTGCTGCAAATCTTAAGAGCAGCTGTCATAGAGGATTTGTTTTAGGCCTGCGAAATGGCAAATTGCTCTGAATCTGCTAGAATACCCATATTTTGCTCTCTGCAGCAGCTCTAGAAGAAACAGTGTATGGAGAACACTTGAAGGGCCTGTGCTCCCTATCAAATCCCCCTTTCCTCAACACCAGTTTAGGATCTCTTGTGGCTTGTAAGGCACAGATTGGCTGGGTTCCATCTTGTTTAGCCCTTTATATAGGGATGGGAGGATACCTGAAAATTTCATAAATTGCCTGGTTGTATTACATAAACAAAAACAAAACTTAGAACCAGTCACCTTGTTCTCTGTCCTGCCTATTGTTCTGTTAGACTTCCCAACCCAAGCTGAATTGAAATTTTGCTGATCTTAAACTATATCCAGGGTAAAACTGCAAGGAAACCTGGTGCTTCCCTAGCCTCTTTTACTCTTCTACATTTCTCCCTAACATGTAGGAAATGTAACATGTAACATTCCTCCCTTTTCTGTTGAGTATATGCATTGAATAGTCAATACTAACCAACCTTTGGTTTAAAAAAGCTAAGACACAGCCACCCTAAATTCCTACTTTGCCTCAAATAGAAATCACCATGATGCCCCACTCCTCACACACACTCAATAATTTTGTCTTGTAACAGTTGTAGACTACACCAGTGATATTTATTCAATTGTCCCCATAAGGAAAGAACTCTCTCCTGCTTCACTTCTCCTGCAGTTAATCTCTGTTTTTTACATATCAGTTCTCAACAAGTATGTAAAGCAAAGGTAAAATATATTTTCTGGTTTGAAATAAAATGTTGTTGAAGCATAGGTGCTAACATCAAATTTGCACAGCCAGTGTTTAGGACCTTTGAATTTAAGTAATCAGATGAGGAAAAAGAAGAAACACCATGCAAAGTATCATTATAATTTTATTTCAAACTACATGTGATACTCATTTTGCTGAATGTGAAGGAGTGAGTAACTCCCTGTATTTTGGTAGGATTAATCAATAAATGCTATATAGAAATGCAGCTTTCTATTTGCAATATATACATAAAAGTTTCTGCTTTTGTATCCATTTTATTAAACATCCAGGCATAGGAAAAGCATTTAACTTTGTAAATGAATAGCATGATCTCTCCATTTAAAAACATAAGAGCAGCCATGCTGGGTCAGACCAAAGGTGTACAGTGCTGTGCAGAAGTATTCATCATTCAATTAGCATTATCACTACCTGATTTACAGAAATTTAATACCATGAAGTTACAAAGTATTTTTTATTCTGGCACAAGAATTGAGTAAGCAAAAACCAACTGGCTCTTGCTGGTTGTATAAATATTCACCCCTTTGCTTTGAGATAAAGTTCTGGTGCAACCTACTTCCTTCAGAAGTTAACTGTAAGCTGAATTATGTTCAGCTGGGTTCCAGTGCCATGTGATCTCAGATTAAATGCACCTGTTTCTGGAAGACCCAGGATTAATTTGGATGTTTCTTAAACAGCATCATGAAGACCAAGGTGCTATTAAAACAACCCCCAGTCCCCAAAACTCAAGAATAAAGTTGGTCAGAAGCCCCAATCAGAGTTGGGTTATTAAAAGAATCCCATACTGTTAAACATCCCCTGAAATACTGTTAAATCCATTAAAAGAATACTGCTTAACCATAACTTTGCTTGCAGAAAAAATTTCATCAACTGAGTTAGAGAAGCAACCAGTAGGCTAGTGGTAAGTCTAAAGAAGCTAGAAAGATGCACAGCTGAGAGAAACCATTCATGGAACAACTGTCACCTGGACATTCCACAAAGCATCTTTGTGGAGATCCTGTAATATGCATCAGTTTTGTTATGTGTTTTATGCTAGAACAGAACTTTTCAGTCTGGTTGGGCGACTATCATGTAACAGAATCAGAAAATCACAGAAATCATGGAGTTGGAAGGGGCAAACTTCAGGGCTGTCATCAAGATCTCTTCTTGCTGATGCCAGAGTGCAGATACGGAGTAATCAACTCAAGTTGCAACAACCCAGATTCAGGCTAGATACCAGGAAAAATGTTCTCACTATCAGAGCAATATGATAGTGGAATCAGTTGCCTAAAGAGGTGGTGGGCTCTTCCACACTAGAGGCATTCAAAAAGAAACTGGACAGCCATCTGAGTGGGATGGTACAAATTGGTGACCTGCAACAACAGAAGGTTGAACCTGACAGCCTTCTTGGTTCCTTCCAACTTTACTATTCTGTGATTCTCCCTTGTTGTGGCTGTTGTAACAACTAGTTCTACTTCCTGTCTTCACTAAAAGTTAACAACCCAGTTCCATCAATAAATGGGAGTATGTTACAAGAAAGAAAAAAATGGGAGGAACTAAGGGGGAAAGAAGAAAAGAATATGTTAGGTACCTTCCTGTTGATCACACTCCACTGCCAAACTCCTGCTTGTTGTCCCTGTCTGCTGACTCCCTGGGAGCTTAGCTACTTGTATCCCAGGGAGTCCTTAGACAAGCAGGGCCAGTTGCTCATTGTGCTCAGCTATGAGTCAGAATGACTCTCCCCACCCACACAGCTGTGGGGCCAATCTCTTTTAGTTGCAGCTCTCAGGACATGCCCTCTTCAGTTGCACGTAGCTCTCAGGAGCTTCTGCCTTTATCTCCTCTTCTACAATTCCACTGCCAAACTCATTTTTGTTCTCTCTGTTCACTCACTCTGGTCACTCACTTGGTGGGAGCTTGGCTGCTCGTATCCCAGAGTCCTTCCACTACCTGGACCAGTTTCCTCTGATCAGCTCAGCTGGAGTCAGGAATGTATTTTAATGTAGGAAGAAGCTACCTTATACTGAATCAGACCATTATGTGGATGTCAATGGCTCTTTCAGGCAGGGGGCACCTGGAGATAGCAAACTGGGCACCATCTGACTACAAAGCATGTGCTTTACCATTGTTCCATTGTTTTGGTTCAAAGAAGTTCTTTTCCTAGATAATGTTTGATATGTGCACCAAATATTTAACCCATCAGGAAGAAGCTACCCTATTATATATGTACAGTGCCCATGTATGTGCATTAAAGCCCATTTGTGTTGGTCTTCTAAGGCACAAATGCAAATATCTAGGTTTCCTACTCTATTATGATGGTATAAGATGGTATACAGCAATGTATCTTTGAGTTTTCTAGACTACATATAGAGATTCCAAACATTAGATCTTTTCTGATGAAACTGAACATTTTTTTTTCCTTGCAGGCTACATGCTTAACTATGAGGCCAATAGAATAGTGTCATTAAGAGTTCATAACCTTGACCAGGCACTCTGAAGACCAGGAAAGCTCAGTATATTGCATAATTAAGAACAATGGGGAATCAAGTTTTAATGTTGTGAAATTCCTTTTTTATTGTGGTTATTTATTCTGCTCCAGTGGAGATCTTTAAAAATAAATCCTTTGTATTCAAGCTTACATTTTCAGGAAACAGGTTATATGCTATCATTGAACAATACCAACTCCATTGACCATATATTTGTTTAGTACATCTGTTTCTCTTTATATCTGTGTTATTGAAAACAGGAATTTATATTAAAATGCTTACAGTATGACTTCAAGGACATCTAATTTCTCATTGCTAATGCTGCCTAATAAGCAGTGTGTTTTGTGTTGTAATTTTAAGTTGTGTTGTCCATAGGACTTTCCAATGTCCAAGAAGAGTTAAACATTGTTGATAAATTCTGGATCCTATCTATAAACTGCAGTGCTGGTGTAAGTCCTATTTTTCACTTTCCAGAGCTGAACTTGGAAGAATTTGTTACTTGTGCTGTGGAGTTCTGGGAAATGGCAGCATGGGTTTCAGCTCATTCAGAGTGGAGTATGTTTATTTGTAAAATTAAACACAGTATTAATTTCTTCTGGACTACTACTTTCTAAAATCAAAGATGTACCTCATTTGGCAAAATGGATAGAAACTGTTCCAGAACATGGCAGCTGCTCTCAATTCTCAAAGAAGCATGTGGGTGGATGTCTCAAGCCAGCATGGAAGATCCATTGTGTCTCTGGGTACATATTGTGACGTTCATTGTGTTTTAGTATGCAATATGTTGTATGTACCTAGCCCCATTGAAGATACTAGAACTGATGTTGCTACACAATTATTGTGCATGACTAAAGCGTAATTGTTCTTTTATTTTAAAAGTTTATAGTGTACATGACCAACTTCATTTTTATTTTTAAAAAGTGCATGAGTTCATATTAGCAAATAAACATCAGCTTGGTTGTCTGATGGGTAAGATTTGTCTCTAAGGAACAAACATTAAATATATTTAATCATCTTGTAGTGATACAAACATTAGTCAAACTATCCCATTTTTATTTTGCCTTTGCACCAAACAGTTCAGGGTGGCAGAGAGGAGTCACCTCTACTATCTTCAGTACAGTTCTTTTCAGTTTGGTTAGACCAAAGCTTGGACAGAGGGAAATTTACGCAAGGTCACCCAGTGAGTTTTGTTTTTGCGTGGGTTTTGAATTCTAGTACCCCTAGTCTAAATGCATTGTCCTCTAAAGTACAATGCTTCCAGTACAGTGTTGTATACTCTGCCTTGAACTACTTTCCAGACTCTCTAGGAAAGTCTTCCCAAGTCCTGCCACCCCAGATCTGATTAAAGCCTTTGGAAGCGCATAGGTGCAGCAGCCCTCTCTCAGAAGAATCCAATGCATCAGAGTGGGTGTATTGGTATGTCTTACCTTGTGGGACATAGCCTGTGCAAATACATTGGGTGCTGGGCCAATAAAACTATCTGTGGCATAAGGGCTTTTACAGCTATCAATGGAAGACCACATCAGTTTTTCATTGTATTCTGTCCATTTCATGGTAGCATTTAAGAAACACAACTGAAAAGTACTATTTAGAAAAAATTTAAGATGGTTCTATAGTTCTTTTTTGCTGTATGATTACTCAACAGGCCAGTATAATACAGAATTATAATATTTAATAGTAATTATTAAGTACAGTATTATAATTAATAGTAATTATTAAATGTTAATTATAAACAATATTTTACTGAATTAAACAGAAGGATCAAGAGCGAGTGAGACGAGAGCGAAAGAGAGTGAGAGAATGAGAATGTAAGAACTACTAAATAAGTCACAACATTATTTGAAGAAAAATGAGCATGTGAATTCTAATGCTCTTTTTCCCCCAGTGATCTCCCTTGTTAGAAAAACACTTTCCTTTCCTTTGGAAGAGAAAAATATCCCAAGCATGCAGAGAGTTCTTTTTGAAACTTTATTGCGACGAAAGGAGCAGAATGGTTTCCTTCCATTCTTCCAACTCAACTGAGCACATGTTCACATCTCACTTTTACACCCTGCCCCCTGCTGATTCTCCCTCCTCTTTCCCTCTTAGTGGGAGGTTACAAATCTTTTCCTCTGCCTATCCAATGCCACTGATACCTGTTCTTCCCTCCCACTTGGTCCCTCCCAGGTGAATTATAATACGCTTATTTCCTATGCAGGGTGTGTTTGTTAATAGTTATGAGGCCATTCATTGAGCAAACTTCCTGCTACCTTGTCTATGTGCCAATTTCCTCACACTCTGTGCTATCTGACCTCAGCCCCCCCTCCCCCTTTAGGCTAAGAATTTTGTTACCTTTTTACTCTTCCTACTTCCTTGTTTCAAATCATCCTTTCACCCCTATCAATTCCTCCCTTTTCTTTCTCTCACCCCAATTTGAAACAACAGTGTCCCTCAAATTTTGCTACCATAAGTCTTGTTTGTTTCTTCCTCTCCTACAGGCATGCTCCTGCAGGCCTTTTGCCAACATGTCATGGACAATTGGCTACAGTGTAAGCGGATGCAGTTTATTGCCCCCACAAAAATAGCTCCTAACATATCCCAGGCTTGGAAGCCAATTTCCTAACCATTCCCATGACCATCTATCCCAATTTGTACAGGTATGTGGGGCGACTCAGCTACTCGTGTGTAGGTCCCAGTGGTTCCAAATTTGAAAGGCAGTCCTTAATATATTCCTGCTTCCAATGTACCCAAATTGTGAAATTGTCACTGAGGCACAGGGATTACTGGGGGTTTTGGCATGCAAATGAGGGTGATTGCAACCTGGCAGCTTAATCAGCCCTTAATGATCAGCAAAATAGCTCTAGCAGCCCCTATGCAAACCAGCAGTTCCCTCCTCTTAAACCAACAGCCAATACCAACAGAAAGTGCACAGATCTGACCTCAACACAGAGGTACATATACGAGTAACCCCCTTCTGTCAGGAATTTATCAGAATTTTCCCAATAATTTCCCCTTTTGTCATTAGCCAAACAAATGAGCCAGTTCAGATAGCCCCCGATACTCCTCTTTCTCAGAAAGCAGCATCTATCTATGCAGCTCCAATGGGGATTGTCCTCTTAGTCAAATCCCTTGATCCTTTTGCCGCCTCTTTTGGCTGCAAAGAGCTTAGTGCCAGCCAGACTGCTCTCATCTTTAACCTGCTCCTCCCGCATCATTGCAGTGCTGTTACCCAATCTATTCTGAGGCCTGGTTCCTTACTCCTTAAGCCCCCTTTTTTGACCCATAGCAGCCTAAGAATGTCATCCTCATCAGGGCTGAGACCCCCACGATGATGAATACCCTGTCTGAGGTCACCATGCCTTTTGGTCAGCAAACTTGGGTTGGCCTGCTTTGCATGATGGGAGCAGTGTGAGACGAGGTCTGATGTCCAGCTCAGTCAAGTGGCTTGCCTTTGAGGCAATTCTTTGAGATTTCGTTGTCTAGGCTTCACTCAATTTCTCCCACAGTGGACTTAGCTGTAGAACTTGCCTCTCACGGTTTGCCTGGTTAGTCCTTTGCTTCCTCGTGGATGATGCAAGGAGCAAGACAGAACACAGAAATCATCTGGTGTCTGGAAAAGTACAGCTCAAAAACAGGTGAATTAGAGAAAAGGCTTTTACATTTCTTCACAGATGCTGGTTAACTACATTAGCTTGGAGAGAAAGTTGAGAAATCCTTGTCCTTTTCAAGCCTGGCCCCCACAAGTCTGTTCAGCACAGTGTCAAGAAAAATGTTTGGGATGTTGAAACCCAATCCAGCCAATGCCAAAAACGCACACAAAAGAAACCCTTTGTTGAACTTGTGTGTTTCACAAACCTATTGCTTGCCTTAGCTAAAGCAAAATGTGCTTTCTGATGGAGTTTGTACAATGAGAACATGGCATCACACAATCTATTTACAGAGATGGTACTCCCCCACATACATATATTTGGGACATTTTTGTATCTATTATGAATAAATGCAAACTTGAACTAGCACCCTTCTCAACCAACCAATCAATCAATGCTTGTGCATCTTGTTGAACATGAGTGCTTATGCTCACAGAAAGAAAAATTCGAGAAAAGCGTTTTGGCTTTTCTAGCTGCCCACATCTTTGGGCTGGCAAATGGGCTCAGCGCCCAACAAACATTAGGCTACTATAAGGAAAATTCTCTTTTGCACCATCAATTAATTTTTCCTTTATTGTTGGTACAAAACACACCCCATAGATCCCTTTCCCTGTGACATTTGGGGCCTGACCAAAAATATTTGGCAATATTGCAAAAAAAAAAAAAAGGGGGGGGGGGACAAGCCTCTTGTTGAACCCACAGGGAAAAGTAGCCTCATTGGGATTATTATTATTGAAGAAAAGAACATCCTGCCACTGTGCACCCATGTGTACACGCACACACCCAAACAGCCCCCGTTTCATCCATTATTCCCCTCCTCACTTCATTCAGTTATGGCACAGCAACAGGATGGTATACTCGGAACACATTCCCTTTTTTTTGCTTTTAGACCCACACCGCACAGGAGAAAGAATAACTTGTGACAGCAAGCACAAACAATTAATGCATGCCCACAACACTGCTTCTAGGTTTCCCTTCCTTTAAAAAATTCCCCTAGCCGCTCATTGAGAGTGCTTAAGAATCTTTCGTTTTATTCCAATTCCTTCCCATGAAGAATTTTTCCTGAGGCAATACAAGCTTTGAACACTCAAAGAACCTCCAGTGTCTTGCCTCAGTTGCATAAACTTATTGTTTCCACACACCCCTTTTTAGACACCCCAAGATTTCCTTTTAGAGTTTTCTAGGTACTCCAGGACCCAGCCCAAGAACCAGTGCAAACCCACCTCCAACTTGTGGCTGGAAGCAGCACTGCTCCAACTTCCTAAAGCACTTTGAACTCTGCACATGCTCAGAGGCTCTTGTGTGCATGCTCCTCCTGCAGCACTCACGAAGTGGTGGTACCTTCCTGTCAGAGCATTTCCCCCTTTTTTGCTCCATGAGATAGCCAATGCTCATAGAGTCAAGAAATCCATAATCTCCAGCACACATTTCCCTGAATTCAGGAAAAAAGCTGCAGTTGTTATCTCTAAAAAACAAGACACTCTTTGCAAACAAGGTCTTGTAAACCATCTCTCTCCCTCTCTCTCTTTTGGTTTTGCTTTTCTTCTCTTTACCCAAAAGAAATGTATGTAGCATGGCATCCTGCAACAGCAGGGGCTCGGACCCGATGGCCTTCATGGCCCCTCTCAACTCTTCCATCTTGTGATTCTATGAAAAATTTGAGCAGTTACATTCTTTATACATTTTTCCCTGTCCTGTACCAAAACAATCACCATTTACCAAAACTCTTAAAACACCCTCTCACACACCAAGCACCTTGCACCCCCTTAAAGCAAGGAATTCCTGCAACTCACATACTCTCATTTTCACATGGCATACACAACATCCAGCAAAATTTTCTTTTTGCCTTTCACTCTAACTCACATTCCAAATAGTTGCATGTTCAACATGCAGAGAAAACATATCAGCCCAGAGAAAACCAGGAACATATTACCTGCCTGACAAGGTAGACTTCTAACAGCAGTCCTTGTGTGTGAGGGGAAAATGCAAGGCTTGCGCTCAGAGCTACTCTGGCCACAGGGCCTGCAACTCTCCTTTTCTTCTCTCACTGCCTCCAGGTGCAATCTTCACTCTGTTGAACTCCAGCCTGCCACTGTTCAGGCTGATTGCAACCGTTTCCCCCCTCCCGCCCCGAGCGTGCCCCCAATCACACCCATCTTCCCTGTGATTAAAAAAAAAAAAAGAAAAAAATTACAGAACAGATTAACCTTACTTATATTGAACCTTATGGGGAAATTTGACTTGGCTCACGACCAAGTTGAGTCATGACCAGAGTCGTGGAACGGATTAAGTTTGTGAGCCAAGGTACCACTGTAATATGAAAGTAAAGAAAACTGTGTGATATGTAAAACACATCAATCACAGAAAGACTGTTTATGAGCATGCCTTAAAATGAGAAAGAAAGCAGGTTTGCAGTAAGTTCTGTCTTGTGGATGTGCAGACACAAAATAACCAGTAACCAGAGCTCATTGTAAGAGATTGCACATGCTGCAAGAAAATGCTGGAGTAGTTTAAGAAATCCCAGTTTAATTAAAAACAACCCTGTGCATATGGAGGAATATTAAAGTTCTTGGACTCTCAGCAAACCTTTACCCTGATGTTTACATTATAGAGGCATTCTTTCCTTTAAAGGGGAGGTGATGAATTGTTTGAATTGAAAAGTGATATTGGAAACATGTATCATGTTTTGTCCAATTACTGTTAATAGTTATCATAATGCTTAAAAATACTCCATGTGGTTTGCAGAATGGGTAGTGGTTTCTTTGCTTCCAATAGTGAACAGCAAATGTTTGCACACAGAGATGAGCTGGCAAGGTGCATTTACCTAATTTTTGGTTCCTTCAACTTATTTCTTTAACCTTTTACTTGCAATTGAATTGAAGTATACAAAGGATCTCCTTTTCTCTCCTTTTCTGCATGTAAGTACATTTCAGACTACTGTATGCAGTTTATGAGAGGGGGAGGGTGTTGCCTTGGAAAAAGAGTTTAGTCACAGTATTCTGTACTAGGGGATGTTTTTGTACTTTTGACTGGTTCCAGTTGCAGGGTGTATATGATTTCTTTGTTACAGAGCTTCATTTCTGGACACAGCTTAAAGTGATGGCCGTGACTGACCTCTACACAGCTTGGGACAATGCCATCCCAAAGCCTGCATTCTTGCATATGAATCTGGTAAAGTTTTAGGATTGTCATAAGAGGTCCTTCCCTTGGTCCCACTGCAATAAATTGTTGTCTCTCGCGAGGGTGGGCCTTCTTCACCATTGCTCCATGTATAGAATCTTATTTCAACAATGGTAACAGGTTTGGATCCTCCCTCATACCTGCGAGTAGCACTCTAATGGACACAAAGCTGTCTATGTCCAACAATAACTTGCTACCCTGCCCTTCCTGGTCCCTGGCAGATACCTGATTTTGCCAAACACTTTAAAAAGCTCATTTTTTTTAGTGTATGAATGCCAGCACCTTCTCTCTTAATTCATTTTTTAATTGGTAACCCTGTGTAGTCTTAAATTATTTGTTTACATAAATCTATTTTATTTTACATTCCCCACTACCTTGAGTTCACTGGCAGCAAGATGGTTACTAACATGTGATCAATTAATGCCTGATCTATGCATGTAAATAATGCAACACAAAAACCTCTTCTGATGATATGGTACCCCGCTAGAGACAAATAAAACACAAAAACAACATTTTATCTAAACTTTTATTAGAACAAGCCCCAAGAGCTGTAAAACAAGTAACAACAAACTGTTAAATATTAAACATTATAGTTCTGAAAAGATACTTTCAACAACAAGTTCCTATTATTTCTGCATAGCAGAAGCAAACAAGATTTTAGAGCTCAAAAAGCCATGTGCTCATTTTAATTAGGGTTGGGCACTAAAAAGAAAAAGACACAAAAACAAAATAAAATAAAATCCCCAGTCCCTAGAATCGCATTTACAGTAGCAATGTGACCACACAGAAAACTGGCAACAGGAATTTTAATTTGCCACCATGCAATTAATGAGTACATAATTGAAATGCTGATGGAACCATTTTTACAAACTCAGGGACTGCACAAATGATCACTACTGGTACCATTAGTTTTGCATCACAAAACTTAAGAAATTATGTTTTCTTACTACTGTGAAGTGCAAATTACCAACTTTTTACCAAGAGAAGCAGTAATCTGTATCAAAATTTAGAAAATTAAAAGTCCTTCTATAAAATAACATTTTATTTTAATATGAAGCTCAAAAATGAAGAATCCATTTTACACTGGGTAACAAAGCAATAAATACTTTAAACTAGTGTAGTCTGCACTTTCTTGTTCCCATTGCTAATAATTTAAATAATAGGGACTTAAATGTGTAAAGATTTAATGGAGGTGAGTTGCACAGTCCTCCTTGACTAGCTAAAGGTGCAAATTCCTGTACAATGGTTATTAAAAATTAAATCCTGGCTGTAGTAATAACAAACAGTTCTCCAGCTTTAAGAAATATCAAATTTAATTTTAAACACCATGATCCTAGGCCTGCTCATGTGGAAACAAGTTCCACTAAATCAAAGCATGTAGGGCTAGGGTGCAAGACTGTAGCTCTGAATGCACTGATAGTGTAACTTTCATTCTTGTACCCACAGCATAGCTTCTACCACCTATGGAAGCATAGAATAAATATGCTCTGAATCTTTGCAAGGCTAGAAAGAATTATTTCTTCTCTTTTAACTCCAGCAACAAATAATCATATGGAAGGCCTTAGGCCAAATCTACCACATGGAAGTTTGCCTAAAGTGTTGCCAGCTCTACAGTTGATACCTGTAGTTATGTCTTTAACACAATTTCATGGCTTAGAGATTAACTTAATTAGCTACTGTAAATCGCAATTGATGACACTGTTGTTTAGAAGGTACAGCTACAAAGAATGGCTGAAAAACTGAAAAATCCACTTCTCACACTGAGAAACACCCCTGCTCCACCCCATATTCAGAAATTTACATGTCTTTCCTACACGTGGCCTGCCTTACTGGTTCAAGTGCAGGCTGTTACACAAAAAAGCTAATGGTAAGACATTCAAACATTATCCTAGAATTCCCTAAACAATGCCAGTCTCTTACCGTTTTCATTTGGCAGTAGATGACTGTAGGAAAATGTTGCTACTGTAGCCATTCCTTACAGGAGCATATAACTAAATGTATACCCATGCATTTCAGGGAAACTGAGAGGGAATTTTGTTTATCTTGTCCAACTGTGGTAGCCTTCTGATTTAAACAGTGCTTATGAACCTAAAAACATCATCTAGTTAATACCAATAGCCAGTAAGGCACTTTATCATGGAGCACATAGCTATACAGGCTACAAGGTGTTAAATGCCATCAAGAGACATGTTTACATTCTGTGACCATTTGTACTCTTTTGGCAGAGCGGCAAAGGCAGAGGCCGGGAGAGAGTGCCGAGTGGCCAGTGGACTGACGAAGGCAAGGGAGGAGCTGGGCAGAGGAGTGGGGGGACCGGAGCAGTGGAGAGGAAGGGAGGCGGGGCTAGAGGGGCCAGGAGGAAGCAGAGGGGCGGGGCTGGCGGTCTGAGAGGCGTATAAGGGAGTCGTCCCTTGTCTGTGTCCCTTAGCTGCAGCTCGGGGACTCCTTTCACTGGGGGCAGGTTTTTATTTTTATTTATTTTATTTTTAATTAAATTTTTATTTTGTACTTGTGTGTGTGTATGGGTTTTTGTCTCGGAGAACTGGGTGAGTGAGGAGTAGTGCAGGACAGACAAGACGGGGGAACAAAGTAGGGTCTCTGAGGGGTTCCCAATGTCAGGTCAGGAGATGGCCTTGGCGGGAATCACAGGTGTTGCTGTCTGCTGCGACAGCTGCAAGATGTTCGCCCTTCTCCCTCAGGAGAGGCAGGGATACACTTGCTCTCAGTGCAAGCTGTATTGAGATGAGATGAGGTGTCTGAGGGCCGAGAGAGCTCTCCAGGCCCCCCTGGGAGCAGTCCCCCTCCAGACAGAGGGTTGAGAGAAGGGCCACAGGAACAGCTGGGGAGGCATGTCACCCACAGGAGGAGGCCAGGATGGCCTCCTCCTCCTCCTGGCGTTGATCTGGAGCTGGGAACAGGTTCCCTCCACTTGGGGAGGCTGGGGCTAATGAGGCCTTGGGGGACCAGCAGGACCCCCAGCCTGGGACCACATGCGGCCAGGAGGCCACTGCAAGAAAAGCGAGGGCCAGGGCATGGCCGCCTACCACCACCAGAAAGAGAGGGCAGCGGGCGATTGTCACTGGGGACTCCCTGCTGAAGGGTGTGCCGCCCTGACCTTGAGACGAGGGAGGTCTGTTGCCTGCCGGGCACACACATCCGGCATGTAAAGGATAGAGCGGAGCGTCCTGTTTGCTCCAGGAGTCATCAGCCGCTTCTGGTGATCCATGTGGGGACAAATGACATAGCCAGACAGGGGGTGGGTGGGATCACCAGGGACTTCAAGGCCTTGGGGAAGAAACACAGGGACCTAAAGGCCCAAGTGAGCTTCTCATCTATCTTATCGGTCCGGGGATTTGGGCCAGGGAGGGAAAGGAGGGTTGCTGAGGTGAACAACTGGCTTAGGGTGTGTTGCCAGAGGGAACGCTTTGGGTTCCCCAACCACGGCACCTGATTTCTTGCCAATGGACTTCTGGCAAGGGACGGGTTGCACCTTACGAGGATGGGGAAAAAGTCCTTTGGAAATGCTCTAGCGAGCTTTGTCCGGAAGACTTTAAACTGAGCTGGGGTGGGTGGGTTCAGGCCCCCTAGAAACTTGTCACCACTGAACAAGTGGGGGGAGAGGATCAGGAAATCTGTTTATCCACCTAGAGCAAAGTCTGCAACAGTAAGAATTCTTTTTCCTTTTTTTAGAAACGAACTAACATTTTAATACTTCTTCACTTCAAAACATTCAAGTCACAAGAATTAAAGGCAAAATGGAGGAATTTGAAAATCTCAGTATAAAAATGTTCCCATTGGTTTTGTGGGCCTGTATGTTTTGCAGGAATTTTTAAAACAGTATTACAAACTTTGATGGCTTCATACATACGATTGCTTTGGTATAAAACATGCGCAAATAAAAGCTCACAGTCAAAAATGTATTGAAGAAACTGCCTCAAAACAATATGATTATGGTTAGGACAGTGGGCATGTTATTGACTCTTGGTTTACATGTTCTACTTATTCAGGATCTTCAGCAGAGATTTAATCATGTAATAAGGTCTTTCAGTGCAGCCTTCAAGATTTTCTAAATCTTTCAATAGGAGGAAGAAAGGCAGAGAGCAAACAATCAAACCAATGTAATATGAAAGCATTTCTGCCACCTGCTGGTCCTTTGTGCACAACAGCAAAAGCCTCAGTATATATTAAATACTAAATGGTTTGGCATTTACTAAACTGTAAACATTGATGCAATAATCTAAGCAGCCCTTCGTCATTATATGGGCTAGATTCTGCACCAGTTCAATCAAGAAGGCATTTTTCCTTGCCTTTGACTAGAATGAGTGCAGGATCCAAGCCTATTTAAAATGTATCATCTCAGTACGAAATGATTCATCCAAATGATTCATTGACAAAGCAAGGAAGTACATTTTATCAAGTTTTAGTTTTATGTTAAAGTGTGCTATGCATAAAACTAGCATTATTATGAACAGCAGGATTTGGACCAAGGATTTAGAAACATATCAATCAAGTTCAAAAGTTTTTTTCTTCCAAAAATAAATTATTACCTAGTTATTTAATGCTCATTCATATCTTAGAAAGATATTCAGGGATTTTATCTATCAGAGTTATTCTTTGTAATAATTCAACTGATACATTGCAGATGAATAAATGCCAAATTTTAGTGCTTTGCATTTTCACAGTTTTTCTCAATTGTTTTAACAGAAATAGCTTTGATCTGAAATACTTCAGATCATTCGTGTTGCCAGTAGAGTGTCATCCTCAGTATACACTGCTGGCATAACTGATGCCACACCCAATCTTAAATATGCCGGTATGCCAAATCTTAAAGCCTGATCAATTGAAAGCAAGTTATTTCGTTGAGTTTGGTTGCACTTGTAGGCTCAGAAAAAAGCATGCTTGATGCTCTAACATAAGTAGTCATCTGCATATATTGCTAGTGTTCATCCCTTTTTGCACGGTGATGCTCAGCTGAACCCTTATGTGGTTGGATACATCTCTGGATGTGAAAAAACTATCAGCTTGGAGGAGTGGGAGACCACGTGCTCAGAGCTACAGCAGAATTTGGAACAATATATTTTGGCTATTATAGAACAGTAAGTGACCAATAACTCAGGATGGTGCATATATCCAAAGAGAAGCGGAAATCTTTAATTCAATACCTAGGTGGTATTTCTATTGTTGAGTCCATAACCATAACAAATGGCATGATTTTGTTTTCCCAGGAGAAAAAAATCTGCTTGCATGCGGGAAAGTGGGGTCAGTTGTGGCCTAATACCTTCAGAAAGCACAAGGTGAGGGAAAGCTGATCTAACTCCCGGGGCTGACCTTCAAAGATTTTCTCTTGTTCTGCTTTGCGACCTTCAGCTGCTGCCAATGTAGACAGTGAGTTAAGAGATGTTGGACTTAGGTAGTCCTGAAACATCTTTTGCACTGTTTAGGTGAATATCTGATCATTTTTCATGCAGACAAAATAGGAGAGAGACATATGCAATATGAATGAGCATTCTAGTCAATTATCAACTGAAGCAAGACTATAGAATTTTGCATGAAAAAAAAATAGCCAATGCCTAAATATCATAGTAGTCTTAAGTAGTACCACTTAGCAAAATTTTGCAATGACAGTGACATCAGACAGAAACTAAAGGCTGTCATTTGGAATAGATTCTCCCCACTCTTTTCACCCATATGTTGGTATAATACTCTTCTTTAATGGGTTTATCATTAATAGCATCACTCTATTTGTAAGCAATTAAAAAAATTTCTCCTCTTTCCTTACCACCTCTGAGATAAATCAGCATGATACTAAGCTCTCTCTTTATTAACACATGCCATTTGTCATGCAGTTGACTGGCACAGCAATGTGACAACCTTCTTAGGGGTCTCTTAATACATTTTAACCACAGTTTAAGTAGCTGTCAACCAGCATGTATACTAAAAATACAGCCATAGCACCATAATTACAAATTTAAGATCATCTGCTGGTTATCTATAGTTTTCATCAGTTTATGGCTAATTAGGATACATGGTAGTCCTTTCAGAAATTGTCTGAATATCCTTTATAAATATACACCCTATTAAAAGGTTATCAAAATGACTGTCATTTCAAACAGCAAAATCTCAAGTTAGAAAAGTTATTAAAGCACTAAGAACTAAAGATTTAAAAAGCTTCATATTTACACTTTCCCATAGGCACTCTTTAAAAACCATACCGTAGCCTTGTATATGTGTCTTTTTAAAAATTTAAAATGACACTGTTGCCTTTTTCATATTTTCGGAGCATTATGCCATTAACTTTTTAGGACTCAGTTCCTTCTTCCCCAAAATTCGATGTAGACTAGCTGACATGTAGTAGGGTTTTGATGTAGATCCATCATTCCTTTCCAAGTCTTCACCTGAATAGTTGTGGTCAAAAGGAGAGAAAGCAGCAAGCAGCCATGCAAAACAAAGCAGAGATTCAAAGAGAAGAAGAGACAACATTAGAAATTCTTGTGTTATGTCAGGTTGAGCCTTAGCATTGTGCTGTCCCTGGATGCCACAACAACACTAATGCCAATAGTTCCATATCAATATATGTAGGCCACAGCCAAGCCACTGTTGATCCATACTGTGAATCACACATCTGCACATGCAACATGTTAAAAGCAGACCCATATATTTATCTTCCATGAAGCTGGTATTTAGGATCTTCACTGTCCTGTTGTATTAGCGGCTGTTGTGTAATTCTGAAATGTACTGAATGATGGAGGAGGCAATGTTTTGTGCGTCCCCCCTCTACAGTCCACTGACAATCTCCTACATAGATTGGAGGACCCTCTGAGACATTGCTGAGCATTTACTATCATGAGAGCATTTTAAAATGAACAGCTGGAGATGCTTCCTGTGTGGGAATAAAACCCCACAACGTTTTGCTCCTGTGGGTACTGTATACTGTGTGGAAGTTATCATTGTTTCTTGTTCATTCTTGGTTTATTTTTTATTTTTGCCACAAGAGGTCAGCATAAGCTGGTATCCTGAAGCATAGCTGGAGGAAATGGAAGATGCACATTCACTGAGGGCTCTTACACAGCTGCATGATCATATGCAGGCCAAGGGAGTTTGAACAGAAGATGTTCTGAAGGATCCTGTCCAGAATGTTTGTTTATACATGCATATGTAGGCCGTCTATAAATGCCAAGGCCTTCCTAGATGGTTTACAGTACATGCACATATTAAAACAAAATAAAACACATTAAAAACCTATTAAAACACAAGTTAAAATATCTATAAAAGAAATATAAAAAGGACCACTGCATTCAGGGCTAAATGTTTAAAAAGTTGCCACACTTTGTTCCATAGAAGCATTTTTGTTGATTTGGGTAAAAAAGGCCAAGGATAACTTGAAGGAAGGCAGTTTTCAGGTTCAGTGTATTGGCATGTAACATAGAAGAATGGGAAGGTTCAGTTTTCAGGTTCATGGTCCCCCTGCCAACTTCGGGAACTCGTGGCTGTAACTGAGGGGCTCTGTCTCTACCTTTGCTGGTCACTAATCAGGCATATGTCTGAGGAATACTATCAGTAAGACTATGCAGTCCAGAGGAGGTATTTCTCTGCCCCTTCTTCCATATATTAGCAACCACAGTACTCTGATGAGAAGTTTTGTTATCATTTTGTTGCCTGAATTAATGCTCCCAATACAGCTCAGAGACCTTCATTTGCAGCACACTCCCAAAATGAGGCCAGTCCATATGAAATAAAAGAAAGCCACCACTAATTCAACAGTTATGGATCTGTAGTATGAAACTAATGTAATTTGTTTTTCATTACTGAATTGCATGTATGCACTGAGTGGGTGGGGGATCTCTGGAAATGCAACATGTATTTCTTCCCTCTAAACCAGGGGTCTCAAACTCAACTTACCTGGGGGCTGCTGGAAGTAGAGTCTGGGTGAGGCTGGGCCACATCAAGCGGCGGTGGTGGTGGGCAGCTCATCCTGCGTCGCTCCCGGAGGCTGGCCTGGGCGCCGCCGGTGCTTTGAAGGCCGCAGGGCCCCTCCCCCATGCCCCGCCCATCCTGGCAATTGGCCCACGGGCCGCGAGTTTGAGACCCCTGCTCTAAACCAAGATCACACCACCTCAAGTGTAGCTAGAACATTTAAGATGCGTAGGCAATTTGTGTCCTTCCACATGTTATCTGTAACACACTAGCCAACATAATTCAACAGGGAAGAACTGTAGGAATTGCAGGCCAGAACATGTGAAAGCCCCAAGTTGCTCAGTCCTGATTTAGAATAAAAAGTTTCCATGCACCAAAGCTTTACCGTTTAGCATTCTACTTGCATGGAGGTGTAGAGAGAAAAGGTAATGCTAACTCCAGATACATTGCAGTGGAAAGAGTTAAGTCTCCCTTCACTGCATGCTGTTGTCAGAAAATCCTAGCCCAGTGAGGGCGAACCTTTTAGAGACCGAGTGCCCAAACGGCAACCCAAAACCCGCTTATTTATTGCAAAGTGCAAACACTACAATAAAACCTGAAAACGGTGGTTTTAGTTTAGAAAAAACAACTCCTAGCCAGTCCAAGCAAATATACATATATATACTTGGTAGCACACTGACCGGCCATGCGCAAGCTTGGACAAGTCGCAGCTAATGAGTAACAGCCCGTGACATTATTGCTTGGTGCCACTACTAATTTCCGAGCGTGCGCATAGCCCCTATTTGTGCTGTTACCCGATGTTCGGTTCTTGGGGCGATGCCTGGGCAACCTGACACGCACACTGAAAGAGAGGGCGATTTTGAAAAACGCGTCCTTAAGTAGCTTTTCCTGCACTGCTCATCATTTCTGCACATTCTAAATACATTCCAATGATCAAAATCAGGCCAGAACAACTTATTTTTCCAACCCTAACCCCACCCTGTGCACACCCCTAACCCTGATATAGGGTGAAAGTTCCATAGAATGGAGGTCGACTTTGAAAACGCCTTCCTTGAGTAGCCTTTTCTGGACTGCTCATCATTTCTCCCCATTCTAAACAAATTCCAACCATAAAAATCTGGCCAGGACACCTCATTTTCCTAACCCTAATCCTACTCTGGTGCCCACCCCCAACCTTAATATAGAGGAAAAGTTCTATAGACATAGAACCACTGATAGGTTCAGAATTGGGAAAGGAGTACGGAAAGGCTGCATGCTGTCGCCCTGCTTATTTAACTTATATGTAGGGCACATCATGTGATTCCTCTAGCCCTGTGTTTCACAAGTGGGAATTAAGATTGCTGGGAGAAATATCAACTTCAGTTATGTAGATGATACCACTCTAATGGCAGAAAGTGTAGAGGAACTAAAGAGCCTCTTGATGTGGTGAAAGAGGAGAGTGCAAAAGTTGGCTTTGGGACTCAACATTAAGAAAACTAGGATGATGGCATTCGGTCCTATCACTTCCTGGCAAATAGATGGGGAAGAAATGGTGGTAGTGATAGAATATATTTTTCTGGGCTCCAAGATCATCGCAGATGGGGACTGCAGCCAAAAAATTAAAAGACGCTTGCTCCTTGGGAGGAAAGCTATGGCAAATCTAGACAGCATACTAAAAAGCAGAGACAGCACCCTGCCGACAAAAGTGCGTATAGTCAAGGCTATGGTTTTCCCAGTTGCAATGTATGGCTGTTAAAGTTGGACGATAAGGAAGGCTGAGCACCGAAGATTATCTAGGTAAAGCAGAGGCGGGGAGAGGGAAGGAGACTGGCATGTGGGTAGGTGTCCCAGACTCTTCTCCTTCCCCACTCCCATCACACCACTTTTCTCCCCTCTCGAAAGTACAGTTCCACTCTTAAAAAGGTAGCTGCTACAGTTCTAAACATGCTGGTTCTAGGATGTAGAATTGCAGAGCAAGGTGCCTCTCAGCAGAGGCTCAGTTCAGGAACTGTTTTCAGTATTTGAGTTGGAGCTCAAATAGAAATGCTTTTACACACAAATCTAGTCCCACAAGTTGTGTTAATTTAGGAGGTGAAAACCTTATTTTATTTTACTTTAATGTTATTTTAAAAATGTATTTCTAGACATCTTTTGGGTCAGAAGGATCAGAAACCTTTGCTCATACACTCACAAGATCAGCTGATCTTGATCTACCTTCTCCTCACACCTGTGCTAAAATGCATGATGTAAACCTAGGTTGTCTACCCTTGGTGTATGTAAGCCTCTTACCACACTTATGCACATCCAGTGGAGAATGTGAGCCACATGGCAGCAACATCTGCTGCTTTATTTCTTGTATTTCTTCTAGCTCACCAATTACAGCTGTATAAATCAAGCACTGCAGAGCAGGAGGGAAGGAGACTGGGATACCATTTATATCTGGTGTAAGTCAATGGCTGCAGCCTCCTCACCTCCCCACTCTTTAGTCCTTTGCCAATACCAATTTCTGACCTTGAAAAGATAACTGGTGCACTTCTTCCCACAAAAGCTGCAGGGACTGGGTAAGCTCTGTGTTCAGAGTCCCACCCCCACATTAAAACACAAAAATGAGAATATTCAAAAGTGCATATTTTAAAACTGCACTATTTTTAAAATAAACAACTTTAATTGCACATTTTAAATTGTGCATTTTTAAATCATACCATTTCTGAATGTGAAAGCAAGTTTGGGAATTTGGGAATATTCTGACCATGATTTTTTTGTTTGGTTGGTTTGGTATTCAGGGCTGCAGATGGGATTTTTGAGTGATTTGCAAACTGAAATGAAATTTTGTACATCCCTGTGATGCACCCTAACTCAGATCAACTTCATCTGTGAACAAGGATTAATACATGCTCACGATGTAAATGTTAAGCTTTCACATTAAACTTTTCTCTCTTTTAAGAAGGAATTGTGGAAGTCGAAACTTATTAAGTCAACATTGTTGGGACTACTAAAATAGTAAAAGATGTTCTTAGTAGGAACACATAGTAGTCATCTAATTGAACCATCACTGGATAAGATAAAGCTGTAGAGTACTCAGAAGGAACCTGTTAGTTTGGAACAGTTACCTTTAAAAGGCCAGCTATTCCAGTGAGAAACAGTAATGTTTCAATAGCTGAACTAAGTCACATCTGAGGCTGATGTGCTTCTGTCTCCTGTGGAACAAAAACTACAATGCAGCAAGTTGCACAAAAGGAGAAGTAGCAGTTTATAGATTCCTTGCTATATATCTCATAAATTCTCTTAGAAGATTGACCTGGTGGTCCTTAAAGTGAAAAGTAAACAAGAAAGAGGTGGTTACTTACAGAAGCAGAGAAAAAGTGTGTCAACACACATTGCATAGACACTGAAGAAGCCATGTGCAACTAGATAAGCTCCTATTATGACAGTCTGAAAAACAGAGAAATGCATATTAATTATACACCATCATCAAAAAAAGCAGGTTGCTTACCTGTAACTGATGTTTTTCAAGTGGCCATCTGTGCAGTCACACATATGGGGTGCTATCCCTGTGCAGTGCCTTTGGCCGGAAGATTGATAGCTAACGGTTTTGGCGGAAAGCTCTGCTCCCCCTCCCCCCATAGGTTATATAGAGCGGAGCATCTGCCATTTTGTTCAGTCTTTGAAGACCGAACGTTTGCCCCCATGTGGAAAGAAGGAATCTCTACTATAGATAATATCGGTACCATGAAAGAAAAAACGTTACGGTATTGATGAAAATATTTCCACTGACCGACACCGAGCAGGGCCAGTGGGTGGGTTGTGTAACTGCACAGATGGCCACTTGAAGAACATCGGTTACAGGTAAGCAACCTGCTTTTCTTCGTCGTGGCCTCTGTGCATCACACTTATGGGTAGATTAGCAAGCTTACCCTTATTGGAGGAGGGAAGGTGTCTTTAGCGAAGAATAGACGAGAGAACAGCTCTACCGAAGGCGCAGTCTTGTCTGGCACGAACATCCAGCCGATAATGCATAGCGAATGTACACAGAATAGCCCAAGTGGCAGCTCTACATACATCATCAATTGGAACTCCTGACGCAAAGGCAGAAGACGTGGCGACAGCTCTAGTAGAATGACCCCTTGGCATTGTAGGCAAGTCAATCCTAGCCAGCTGATAGGAGAGGGTAATTGTATGGACTATCCACTTGGAGAGTCTTGGAGTGGTAATTGGAAGGCCCTGACTTTGCTCAGAGTATTTGAGAAAAAGCCTGTTGGAACGTCGAATAGACTCAGTCCTTGATCTGTAGAAGGCCAGGCAGCGCCGTACGTCAAGTGTGTGCAAGGATCTCTCTAGCGGATTCGTAGGAGATGGAAAGAAGGCAGGTAAGACAATGTCTTGTCCCATGTGAAAAGAGGTGACCACCTTAGGAAGAAAGGATGGATCCATGTGTAAAACAAATTTCTCCCTGTGGAAATTTAAATATGGAGCATCTACCCGCAGAGCACAGAGTTCACTAGCTCGTCGAGCTGATGTTACTGCAACAAGGAATGCCGTTTTCCAAGAAACAAGATGTAAATCGATTATTGCCAAGGGTTCGAAAGGAGCTCTTGTAAGTGCTTGTAAGACCACAGAAAGACTCCACGGAGGCATCACTGGTCGAACCGTTGGGTTAAGGTTATAAAGTCCCTTAAGGAATCTCTTTATAAGTGGTTGAGAGAAAATGGGCGAGCTTTGAACTGTGCCATGGTAATAGGAAATTGCTGCCATATAGACTTTTATAGAAGACGGCTTCAGTCCGGAACGGTGAAGTTCTAATAGGAACTGAAGGATTTGATGTATGGATGCGGAGAGTGGAGGAAACGAACGAAACTCGGCAAAAGTAGAAAATCGCCGCCACTTAGCTGCGTATGAGTGGAAGATGAAGATATTCTGCTTGAGAGATGTGAAGCAGTGTCGAAAACCAGGCCTGGCATGGCCACCAAGGGGTTATGAGCAGTCCCGTGGCCCCGTTGTGGATTATCTTCGATATCACTCTCATAATGAGGGGAATCAGAGGAAAAGCGTAAAAAGTCAGGTTGTTCCAAGGGATCATGAAGGCGTCCCCTAATGATCCCTGTCCGATTCCGGCTCTCGAGCAAAAAGTCTCGCATACCCTGTTCTGTCGGGTGGCGAATAAGTCTATGTCTGGGAAACCCCATCGATGGAAGAGGTGGTCGCATGTCTGGGGGTCTAGTTCCCATTCATGGGATGTGGACATGTGTCTGCTCAGAAGATCGGCTTCCACATTGTCCATGCCGGCAAGGTGTACTGCCACTAGAGTAATGTCTCTCGGGATGCACCATTCCCAGATTTGTATCGCTAGTCTGGCCAGAGTCGGAGACTTTGTCACGCCTTGCTTGTTCAGATAAAAGACCGTAGCAATGTTGTCTGAAGTTATCTGAACGACTTGCTGGCGAGGAACATCTTCGAATGAACATAGAGACTTGAATACAGCCAGGAGTTCCAAGAAGTTGATATGATTCTTGGCTTCTTGGCGATTCCAAGTGCCTTGAGTATGTAGATCTGAACACACTGCTCCCCATCCCAATAGGGATGCATCAGTACCGAGAGTCACTGAAGGGCATCGTGGTCGGAATGGAACCCCCACGGTTAGGTTGGCCGGAACTGACCACCAGAGCAGAGAGTGGAGAACAGAGGATGGAATCCGAATCAACTTTGTCGGTAGATCCCTCTGTGGCCAAAATATTTTGTTGAATAAAAGCTGCAGAGGACGAAGGCGAAGTCTGGCATGTGGGACCACGGCAACTGACACAGCCATATGCCCCAAAAGTCTCTGGATGGACCGGGCAGGAACCATCATGTCTCGTCACATTCAATGGATGTGTCGAGCAAGAGTCTGTTGTCTGCCCCGAGGAAGGAAGGGTTTTGCCACCGTAGAATGTAGTTGGGCTCCAATGAAAGTAATCGTCTGTACCGGAAGAAGAGAAGATTTCTCGGTATTAATACATAGTCCAAGATTTTCCAGCAGGACGCAGGTCGTATGTATCGAGGCAAGAAGTCCCTCTGGTTTGGGAGACTAGCAACCAGTCATCAAGGTAAGGGTAAATTTGCACACACCACAGCCGTAAAAAGGCACAGACAGGAGCCATACACTTGGTAAATACTCTCGGAACAGTAGCCAGTCCGAAGGGCAACACTGTGAACTCAAATAGTTGGGATGCGACAGCAAAACGAAGGAAACACCTACGACAGGGTTGAATGGAAATGTGGAAATAAGTGTCCTTCAAGTCCAATGAGGCAAACCAATCCTCTTTCCTCAGCAACGGTAGGATATTTTGAAGGGTGGTCATCCTGAATCTTTTCGTTGGAATAAACTGATTAATATTTCGCAAGTTCAAGATTGGACGAAGACCACCATCCCGCTTCGGGACTGTAAAATATCTCGAATAGGATCCGTGAAGTCCGTCCGTCTGAGTTAATTGATGAATCGCTCCTTTACGAAGATGTTGTTGAACGTCATCAAGCAATACCGGTGAGCATGAGGTGAACCGGATCAGGCTCGATGGAGGAACGATGTCAAATTCTATCTGATATCCGTGCTGAATGATGGACAATACCCACCGATCAGATGTGATGGACTCCCAAATGGGGAGTCGGCTTCTCAGCCGGTCCCCAGATGAGAGGAGGGTGGGTAGAGTAGGAAGGAGAGGAATGGTTTGTCCATCCTATCAACGTTGCCTCCTATTGCCATCGAAGCGACAACGGCCTTATTGGTATTGTTGCGGGGGCTGTTGACGGCAGCATTGTTGTTGATGTTGCCGTTGTTCAGGCTGCTGTCTGGCTTGGTATGGCTGCCTATAGGAGGGCCAGGTCCAAGACCACGTACGTCTGGTCTGAGGTTGGAGCTCCATCCTCCGGGCCATCATACGGGACTCGTGGATTTTTTTGAGCTTCTGGTCAGTTCTTGAATGTAAGAGCCCGGACCTGTCAAAGGGCATTTCCTCTATTTGCCTCTTCGTCTCCTCTGGAAAATTGCAGTTGTGCAGCCATGCATGCCTCCGGAGGGAGACAGCACCGACCAAGGCCCTCGAGTCCATGTCCATGTGGTGTCGAGCAGTGGACAGCTGCTGGACTGCAACTTGCATTGCCTCCTTTATAAAAAATTTTGCTGGATTGCCCTGTTTATCTGGAAGGGCCGAGACGACATTGTTGAGGCGCTGCATATTGAAGTACTGATACCTCGCCAGTGTCACCTCATAGTTAGATATTCTAAGCCCGAGACCGGAGGCAGCGTATACTTGTTGGGCCAGGGAATCGATCTTTCTTCCCTCTTTGGCTCGGGGCATAGTATGACCTCTTGCCTCTCTGCCCTGGGAGGACTCCACCACGACCAAGTTTGGTTTAGGATGGCGGAGGAGGAAGGGAATGTCCTCCTCCCGAACTCGGTACATGGATTCGTACCTCCGTGAAGTTGGCTGAGGATGTGCAGGCAGGTCCCACGGCTGGGTCACAGCCTGCTGCAAGGTGGTGATGAGCGGCAGCACGATGGATGTCGACTGTTCCCCACGGACGACATCGTAAAATTTGTCCGTACTGGGGCCAGGCTGCTGAATAGCGTCGATTTCAAGGGACTGGACGAGACGCGACATCAACTCCGCAAAAGAGATGTGGGATTCGTCATCAGGCGACCCGGGTCCCTGGGAGGTTACTGTGACATCCAGGGAGGTGGAGTCGACCTTGGAGTCGTCGTAGTCTATGCCATAGTATGGAGGAGCCGAGGAGGAAGATTCCGCCGGTGATAAGGACAGACTGCTCTCCCTAGTTGGTATCGGCGAGGCACGTCTTGGTACCAATGGAGTCGGGTGGTTGCGAGGTGCCGGTAGAGAGGAAAGTCCCCCTGGGGCCGGATAGTGCCCGACAGAACGGGAGTCACCCCATCCATGGTAGTACGGATGGTGAGGATGGTACCATCCCTCTGATCTCCTCTCAAAGATGACTTCTGCGGCTCCTGAGAGGAGACATCTCCATGTCCGCTGCCAGTGTAGCTGGGGGCATAGGCGTGGGAGACCTAGCCCTCGGTGGGGAATCCCGAATCTCCCCATTGGAGACTGATTCCCTCAGCGGAACTGGAAGAGGCTCTGACGTAAGCTCATGCATGTGTTGAGGGGACCCTGGAGGGGTAACCCTCATAGCCGCCTGAAGCGCCAGGCCCGGTGGTGTCGATACCGCGACAGCCGTCAGACCGAAGGGGCCAACGAACCTGAGTCTCAGTGCTTGGGGTGCTCAGGGTTCTTGGGCTTCCGAGGTGGCTTCCTGGTCTTATCCTTTTTAGCCTTCTTGTGGTCAGTCAGCTTGTCGGAAACAGTGTGCTTCCGTTTTTCATGCTTCTTCTTAGGTGAGGAAGCAGGCTGATCACCCATGGTAGACACACCTTTGTCCGAAGGGCGTGATGGCGGAACCACAAGGAAGAGACCGGTTTTGGAGCAGATACTAGTGGGTCCGACTGGAGGAGAGCACGGTCCCACAGAAGTCTCCAGAGGCGATTCTCATGGTTCTTCCTGGTCTGCTTAGAAAAGGCCAGGCAGTGAGAACACTTATCAGTCCTATGCCCTTCCCTCAAACAGAGAAGGTATAGGTCATGCGGGTCTGCAGGAGACATTTTAGACCTGCATTCCGTGCACTTGAGGAAAACCGCTCGTTGCGCCATCGTAGAAAGGAAAAAAGAGAAGATAGTAAAGTGGGTAATAATATATTTTTGTTTTTTGTTTTTTTATAGAAAGAAGTGAGTAAGAAAGAGAAGAAGAACAAGAGAAACAACAAAAACTACTGGAAAACAGGGATAATAACTTGGAAAGAGAATAATTGCAATAGTGAGAACGAGGAACGGTCAGAGCAAAAGCGGCATGAGGCACAACGAACGGTGGTCACAAAGACTGAACAAAATGGCGGATGCTCCGCTCTATATAACCTATAGGGGGGAGAGGGAGCAGAGCTTCCCGCCAAAACTGTTAGCTATCAATCTTCCAGCCAAAGGCACTGCACAGGCGCAGCACCCCATATGTGTGATGCACAGAGGCCATGGCGAAGAACACTGCATTTGCTTTTCATATTTCATTATGAAAGATCATGCCCCACCAACTTATATTGCCAAAATTAACAATTCTATAAACTGAATCAGTTTTTGGCAATATGAACTGTAGGCATATGGGCCTAGTCAGGATTGGGACTGCAATAGACATCAAAGGGCCATCCCCCTGATACATGGATGCACAAGAGTTCTTACCTGGATCAGGTGCCCTGTGCTTAGTTTTGAATAAAAAAGGCAAGAAAGAAACTGACTTTATATTACCCATGTTGCTTAGAAATTGATTTTAAATTATCTGTGTTCTTCTTGTTCTCCCCCCGCACTTCCCTCTACCTGTGAAATAAAACTCTTGCTTTTTTGCTCTAGTCTGAGTGCTGGCATAAGCTATTTAAATCTCATCATCAGTATTGACCTTACCAAGAGCGGGACCCAGTAGTAATTCAGTGATGGTGCTTCTTGTGTGAATGCTGGTATCTTATGTGTGAAGAAAAAAAAGGCTAAGACACCTATAAGAAAGAAAGCAAAAGCCAACAGGTGTCAATATATCCATTTTCCAGATGATTTTAATGTTATTTTAAAAGACAGAATAGGACATGCGTAAGGCACTTCCATAACTGGGAATTCTCACAAATACAGCATCTGAATGATTTATATAGCCACTGGATCTAATTATTTACATGTATCCCAAATTATTTACATGTATCATTCCTTCATTTGAAACACCTTTCTGTGTGCTCATACCTGCACAAATCAGTATCTATAATGGGTGAAACAGCACAGCTTAAATAATGTGCACGTGTGTGCACATACACACACTTTACACTAGGTAATTATTCCCAGTACCTGTACTGAGACAACACTGACATTCAAATTAATTCTGTATGAAGATTCATGCAATCTATAGATTTCAATTAATTATATTATGCCATGAAAATGACTGGTTTTAATAAATTAATAAAATAGAGTAGAATAGAGTAGGCACATAGAAAAAAGAAATACACATTTGATTCACCAAATAACTCATCTAGTTTATTTCTTGCATCGATACATATTTCTACATTGCATATATATCTGCGTATCTGAGTCAACATGTTTAATTATAAATTGACATATCAAATCATGATAACATCTGTGCTAAGCAAAAGGGGAAAGGCATGTAAATTACTTAGCCCAAGGAACTTGCCCTTAAGCATGAGGAAAACTTTGTATTATTTCATGGTTTAATCTCACACAAATCTCATTACCTCTACTACAAGGACAAAAAAAAGACTGTCCAAAAAACTGCAGTCAGCCTTGGCTTAAATATTCAACCTTTAGTGCTGAAGAAATGTCAACAATGTCAACTACATCATGGTATGATAGATCCCTGGAAGGAGCACTCTCCAGCCAATGCGGCCAACGTAGCAGCAACTCTGGTTCCTCAGCCCTCAACTTATTCAATATCAAGCATGAGGAAGACAGACTCCAAACAGCAGAAGAAAAAGAAGGAAAGTTGTCTTGATGAACAAAGAACTCCAAAATCGCATTAAGAAAGACCACCTTAGCCTGATGAAAGACCATAAAGGGTAAATTTGTCCTTAAACAGAAACGGCCCACTAGATCAATAAAGCAGATGTCATTGCCACTAAAAAGGCTACTTTCCAAGCAAGGAAGCACAGATCAGTTGTTGCCAAAGGCTCAAATACTTCTGACATCAAAACCTTGAAAACCAGAGATAAATTCCAATGACCAATGACTTCACAAGGGGCATTGTTTTGCTCTGAGGATGAATGATTTGATCAACATGTGTGAAAAAAATCCACACACCACATAATTGTCCTCAATAGATGGAAATAGCTGCCAAATAAATGCATAAATGAGGACATTTTTAAACCTTGCTTCAAAAAGAAAAAAAAAAAGCAGAACTGATTGAGTATCTTGCCTCATTCTCTGAGGTAGAGCTGGCCAGTATTCGGTCTTGCACAGTATCAAAGGGCTGGTTTCATGGTTTTCAGTACTAAGGATTCTGATGAGCATGTCATGGCTAGAATGAGAGGCAGTGGGCATGATAATTTATCTATCAAACTATAAACCTTTTCCTTCTCTCTTTCAGGTGTCAAAAAATAGCCTTGGGTCAGAAGACTCCTGCCTTCTTGACCTATTTGTTGCTGTGGAGAATGACAGTGAATACACAAGAGCAGAAGGGTCTGCATGACCAGTGATTAGAGCCTCTAGACCAGGGGTCTCAAACTCCGGCCCGTGGGCCAACTGCCGGGACGGGTGGGGCACGGGGGCGAGGCCCTGCGGCCTTCAAAGTGCCCGTGGCGCCCGGGCCGGCCGTGGGATGAGCGGCCCACCACCACCGCGGTGGTGGAATACTTGATGAGGCCCAGCCTCACCCAGACTCTACTTTCAGTGGCCCCCAGGTAAGTTGAGTTTGAGACCCCTGCTCTAGACAGTGTGAAGTGTGAGATTTATGCCCTGTCAACAGAACTGGCTGAAGAACTGGAGATAAAGTCCAAGCCACTGTAGTTTGGGGGGCATTGAACACCTCCAAAGTTTTCTGCCGAAGTCCTGCCTTGAGCGTGCATGCCCCATTTCTCCTTGCTTGCAATGTGAAGGCCTGAGAATGCAGACAAGTGTTGATGATATGTGCTTTCCTGAGAAAAACAAGCAAACAATAGGTCATCAGCTGGCAGGAGATTTCCTTCATACCTGACACATTTTCAAAGGTTGCCTTGAGGGCTGTACACCCAAAGCAGGTATGTGAAGAAACTACAAATAATTCTGCTGTAAAGAGAGATTAACAATTCCAGTGGAAGTAGAAAAAAGAAAAAAGAAACCTTCTGCATAAATAAAAACACAACCTAAATAGACGAGAAAGTTTCTGCTAGGCTTTCCAACAAAAATTCATCAGCTACAGAAGGTTCTAGAATTAAGGCTTTGTGATGCACAAAGCCTATTTCGGCACTCATTTTTTGGAGAAGAGTGAAAAACTTTAGAAGGGAGATTTTACAAACAAATACTCTCCCAAAGAAATTAACCAATCCCTTTGGAATGGTTAATACTCTTTTAATTCCACGCCTTTCAATACCCAAGGCACTGATAAAGCTTGCACCATAGAATCATAGCATCACAGAATTGGAAGTGGCCAGAAGGCCAGCAGGTCTATTCCCCTGCCCATAAAAAGTGTTTGGCAGGCAGTAAGTTACACCATCCCATTTAGATGACTGTCCAGACATTTTTTGAATGTCTCCATTTTGTCTCTTTGGATTTTGGAGATCACCTTGGTGATTAGGTGGAAGAGGGGGGAAACATAGAATGGCATTCCCTCCTGCTTGAGGAAGAATGTGTTCCCCAGGGACCTGGTTCCCAGTCCTGCCCTGAAACAGAAGTAGCACCACTTGGAGTTCTGGGTTGGGGCAAACAGGTCTATCTCAGGTGCACCCCACCTGTCATGGAGATCTCTGAGGACTAGTCTGTTGAGTTCCCATTTGTGTGGTGCTGAGATGGTGCAGTTGAGAGTGTTGGTTCAGGTTCTGAACCTGCCTGCTGCATGGATGGCTGTGATGGCGGTGTTCTGGGTTATGCACCACTCCCAGACGGTAGATGTAAGGTTGGTGAGTTGGGTGGACCATGTGCAAGTCATTCCTCGAGGAAACCAACATGAGCCAGTTGTTGAGGTACAGGAAGACCTGGACGCCCTGGAGCCGTAGATGGGCACAGACCACTGTTTGTTTTGTTTGTTTTTGTTTTTCGATTTATATCCTGCCTTTTTCCTACAAAGGGCTCAAGGCAGCTTACATCATCTCTCCTCCCACATCTTACCCCCACAACAACAACCCTGTGAGGTAGGTTGGACTGAGAGTCTGTGACTGGCCCAGAGTCACCCAGTTGGCTCCATGGCTGAGCGGGGACTTGAACCCAGATCGTCTGAGTCCCGGTCCCATGCTCTTAACCACTACACCACACTGGCTCTCTCACCACTGTCATAGTAAAGACACTGGGGGTGGTGGAGAGGCCAAATGGGAGGACTGAGAACTGAAGGTGAAGAAAATGTCTATAGGCATGGTTGATATAGATGTGGAAATAAGTGTCCTTAAGGTTAATGGAGACAAACCAGTCCCCTTGCCACAACAGGGGTAGGATGCTTTGTAGGGAAGTCATTCTGAACTTCCTGGGTGTAATGAACTGGTTGATGCCTCTGAGGTTGAGGATTTGTCTTTGGCCTTCATACCGCTTTGGCATGGTGAAATACAGGGACTAGAATCCCCTTGTTATAGTCTATGGGGTGGGCAGCTGAGTATCAGATCAGGGCACCAGGGCTCAGACAACTGCTACACTATGAGGGGCTATTCCAAACTGCAGTCAAACAGTCCAGAGGTTGAGACTGGTAATGGAAGTACAAGGAAGTACAAAGTTAGGCAAGGCGGCGGTGGGCGCGCGCATGGCGAGGCAGTGGGCACGGTGAGGTGGAAGTGGCGGGTGCATGCATGTGGTGAGGCAGCGGCTTGCTTGCTTGGAGATCGTTTTCTCATAGCGAGTCCAAAACCAATGAGGCGGGCCGAATAAATGGGCATGGCAGGCCAGATCTGGCCCGCGGGCCGTAGTTTGAGGACCCATGCCTTAGTCAAACATCTTCTTCAGATTATTCACGGACTTCAACCAAGCTGAAATATTGAATGGACTTACCCACACCTCCAGCAACAAGAATTTTCCCCAGGAACAGTAAGAAGTCTGTCACTTTATCCAGAACTGCAACTCTGTTCAACAGAGGCAATAAATAAAATTGAAAAATCTTTTTAGTAAAAACTGTCTGCTGCGCAGCAATGTAACAGTTTCAGTGTGCTGATATTAAAAAAAAAGAGAAATAGAGTTGCAAGTCACCAATATCCTAACAACAAAAAAATCCAAGGTTGTATTTACTGAATGTATGTTACTGAATTTTGTAACTTTGCAATTTTTATAATGGTTTTATTTTTGTAAATAATAAGACACAGAAAGAAGAAAAAGCATCAGAATAAAAAGTTACAAAGGGACCACACACCAGAATTGATCATAAAAACAGATGCAAACGTTCTACAAGGAATCAGCAATAGATACTCTTTCATCTATCAGTGCAACAGATAATAGATCAAATTGAAAAAATTAAATCTTTCTGTGGTTATAAAATTAAGAAAAAAAATAAAATTTCTAACAAGACTAGAAGAAAATATTTAAAAGGTGCAAGATAACTGTTAGGCATATTTGTGGGAAGAGAGAGAGAGACTCGTGCCAAGTGATAGTTACTTCTTCAAGGCCACCTGGTGAGCTTCTGGACTGAGTAAAGTTTTGAATCTGGGTGTTCCCAGTCATAGTTTGACATTCTAATCACTACATCATGCAGGTTCTCATACTTCCTCACTACTCTGCGATGTGAAGATGAAACACCATTGATCAGGGTGATGCCACAACCAGACAGGATTTTGTTAGTGGTGTTCCAAACTCCAGAATTGGTTTCAAAGATCTGCCCAACAGATCCTAGTGGTCCTTCCAATCCCTCTCTTTAGGAATTTTTTTAGTGTGTGTTTTTTAATGAGAAAGATGTTTTAATGATAGATCTATTATTTTAATCTGTTCTTGTAAGTGTTGTTATTGTTCTGATTTATTTTTTCTTTTAATTGTGAATCACTTTGAAAACAAATGTTAAAAAGTAGGTCATAAATTGCCAAAGAAATAAACAAAGCACACAGCACAATGAGGTAGCAGAATGGACTGTAATACCACTTTAGAGTATATGTGCAGAATTACGTTTGAGTGCTCCTATATGTAAAAACAAAACGAAACCCAACTATAAGCAACTATGGCTACTTACAGGTAGATAACTGGTGCAACAAGTGTCTTACTGGATTAAAACAACTCTATTTAATATGCCACCTTTGTGTGTGGTGAGAATGTTCAAAATGGCATTGCCCTCTACAGCCTGAAGTGGTCCAATACATTCCCTTACCCCATTCTGCTGCTTCTGAGGACTAGCCTTCAGTCTCTGCACAAAGGAACATGGGAATCCATCTAGCCTACTATGGTCAATACTGACTGACAGCAGTAGCTCTGCCAAGGTGGAGGCAGAAGTTTTTCCAGGGTGGAATCTGAGCCCTTCTGCATGCAATGCTTATGTTACAGCATGTATTACTGAGTGATAGCACCTCCCCTACCATGGTGTGCAGTATAGGATGTTTCTGAAGTGACTCACAGATCCTGGGATGTATGGCTCCTTACCTCACCACGTTTCTCATGAGGAGAAAGAAAGCGTCCCTTGCTGATGTACAGAAGTTTTTGCCATACATTGCAATCTGTAAAAAATTAACAGCTGTTAACTTATCTGTGAGAAAGCCCAGTAATAAAAGGGGCTTGACTCGGGGGGGTCTTACTCATGAGAACAAAAGACATAGGAAAAGAACATGGTACCATGTTATTTACAAGATTCAGAAAATACCTTCAACTTGCCATGCTCCCTATTTGCTATTAAATAAGTTCTCTTTCCTATAGCCACCAAATAAGGTTATTAATGTATTCTCTAGGAAATGGAGCCATAAACATTCAGTTCATTTGAAAAGATCCCAAACTAAAATGGTTGGAAGTACAGAATATGAAAATGGACCTGGCTACCTGCACATTTCAAGGTGGCCTGTGACAGGCAGTGTATGTTTGGCAAACGTAAGTGAAATAATACACACATCTACTTGAAACAAATACATGAAGACTGGCTTTAAACACATGTTCAAAGAAACACACTAGCTTTGAAATGCTTCTGACCTTCAGGCATCAGTAAACTACTTAGGAAACCTCAGAATGTGACACAAAACAGTTTCAGGTTTTGGTATTCTTGAAACAGAAATACTGTTAATACTGTATAGAGGTGGAACATGAAAACTGCCTGGCAGTCTTCACTGATTCACAATGCATTGCCTTGCCTCCTGCATTGCCAAGGAGTACACTAGATAGACACGACCCGTGCAGGCTTCCTTTGAAGGACAGCTTTTCATACTGTTTTTCAGTTGTAAAGCTCTGAGTCCCAAATACTATAGAAAAACAGTGACGAACCTTAGGACTGGGGTTCTTGTCTGGCACTCTGGAGTTTCCCCAGTGGCCACACCCCCTCTAGTCTTTGATGGATTCCCAGCTTTTGTGCAGTTTTCCTCCTTTCTAGAAGATTGAAACACATCTCCTAAGAATTAGTTATAGTCAAGAAGCTATAATATTTTGCCTCACCCTTTTTCTCTCTGGCCCTACCTAGCACTGGAATGTGGTCCCCCAAAGCTCTTCTGAAATGGAAAAATTTCAATTCACTCCTCAGCCTGAAAGAACTTTACCTCTGTCTTAGAAAGTACCTCCTTTCTTCAGTACCATTCATGGTCTTTACAGTTAAGTGAGAACACAGTTTTGACTGTAAAATATATGTAAACAGCAAGGGCAAATAGAGGGCCCTTCATAACAATCCTACAACTACAGAACTTCCATGTCTTGGAAACCTGAAGAAGATATTGGTAGGATATTTTGTCTGGGTTGTTCTTCTGACCAAGGTTCTGCAAGTGTATGAATCATTTCAATTCAACAATATATAGTGTTTTTCCTACATTTGAGTTACACTGCATTCCTGCATATGTCTACTCAGAAGTTCAGTGTGACATTCTCAGGAAAGTGTATACAGCACTTGCCCATACTGTATTACCTTCTTAGCTGCCCTGGAAGGGTAAGCTTAAAAGACCATTTAAGATGAATACTTGATTTGTTAAAATCCTTATTGTGGAGCTGATGGGCTTGATTTGGGAATGGATCCACCTCTGTATGGATTAGATCTGTGATCGGACACAAATCTCACTTCACCAAGTTTTTAATGGATTGGTCTCCATAGAGCAAGTGACCTTCCACAAAAGAAAGGATTTCCACTTGTGAAATGTCCCTCCACTCAGTTTGGAAATTTGCCCCCTTTGCCCACATCTCATTCATCAGTCTTCTGGCTCTTTGTGTATTACTTTCAGGGGACAGGGAAGCCCACCAGTACAGCTGTTCCAGATTAAATATGGACCCAACCCTACTAATCCCTGATGAATTTAACTCAATTGGCCTCTGTTGAAACAATATGTGTACATAGTTGGTAGAACAACTACTTAAAGGTAATGCAACTTCTTTTTCATAATTAAGTTCAAATGTAGTTTTATCACTGCATCCATTTTTGTTCTCCGTAACTAGCATTTAGATTAATTTCTCATCTTGCAGGTGTTCTAATTCTGAGTTTCTTTAATGTGCTTGAGATGGATTTACTGTAGTCTGCAGTATCAAGGCACTGCTAACCACCCAGCTGATTAACGCTGCTGGCTGTGGTCTACTAAGGACCATGTGAAAATATTTAGAAATAGTAAAGTAACTCATCTAAGATTTTATTCCAGAGCTACTGCAGTTAATCTAATATTCTAGTTTAAAACAAGGATTGGATCTGCCACACCAGTAATAGTGCATCAAACTTTCCTGCCTCAAATGCAGCATACTGGAAAAGGAGAAAGAAGATACATACCATGATGTAGGCATTTCTGTTGATAAATTTGAGGAATTTTTCCAAGCACCAAAAACAGCATTTAAGGCAGCAAAGTAGGAATTTAGCAAAGGCATTCTGTGAGCCTGCACAAAAGAAACAGATTTTTCTTAAGAAGCACAAAAAAGCCATAAAGATGGAGAACTCCACTGACACTGTCTTAGACTTTATTTACACCAGCAGTTTTGTGTAGTTGTCTTGACCCCTTGACCTCTCACTGATTGCCAAAAATTCATGCACTCAGTCGTGCTACAATTTAGTTGGCTATTAGCAGCACACCAATGCAAAAAGGAATGACTGAATTTGCAATCCACTGGACTGCTCATGCTATTGGACAGTCTAAAGCAGATCATGGCACCACAGTTGCACACAACTGCACTGGAACTTCCTGTGCCACACTATTGTGCCAGATTTTGTTTTGTTTGTTCAGTACAAAATACCTCTAAACCGGAAGCCCCCAAGTTTTTTGCACCTGCTCAGGAATTTAAGAGACTGCTGTGGCTACCTGAACAACATGGCTCCTCCCATGGAGGTTTTGACTAGTCACATAATGTCTGTGCGGTTCTGATGACTTAAAGGATGAGGAATTAACTCAAAAAACTGTGCATAAGCATAGGGAGAGTCTGAACCGTAAAGCTGATCTACATATTTGACCCCAGAGAAGCACAACAAAATGTCAGTTTAAAGTTGCAGTCTTGTGTACTCAGTGGAACTGAACAGGTCAACATAAGATCATTCTGCTCATTCTATCAACATATACATACCCTTGGACAGTCATCTGAGTGGATGGTGTAATTGTGCTGAGTGGATTTGTGACCTGCAAGAGCAGGGCCTTGGACCCAATGGCCTTCTTGCCGCCGCCCCCGCCCAACTCTACTATTCTGATTCCTCAGCTGCAAAAAAAATGAAAATGCCTCCCACTCCAAAAGGGAGGGAAATCCCTACTTCAACTCAACCTGCTATATTCCCTACCTGATGCTATTATTTATTTATTATTTTGCACTACAGAAAACTAAAACACCATTACAGAAGGAAAAAAACCTAAAACATTGCACATTTTATACACATATTTATACGTCACCTATAACTGCTTGAGGCCTTCCTAGGTGGCTTCTAATACATTAAAGCACACATAGACCCACACACACTCACATACATACATACATAAAACAATTATTAGTATATAGCAGAACATATTATTGTTATTAAAATAATTGTTCATAGACAAAGGCAGCTCAAACATTTATATATGAATTCATTTGTAGACTTTGCCTGTATGCCACCTGTTCAAAAATTGAAAATTTCTTTAAATCCTTCACCCACTGTATTACTGCAGGGAGCAGTTTATCCTTCATTGTTGTAACACTGGTCTTTTAGCTGTCAAAAGGGAATGTTGACTATGCATTAAATTCCAAGAAAGGAGAATATAATTCAAAAATTCATGTGTATACTTCAATATTAAAGAACTCTCCATCACAAGATTTATCTAAATTATTATCTCCTCCAAATGAAGCTGCCATTTGGCATTGTCAAAGCATACAGAGAAGAGATGCATTAACAGCATTACAGCTCCAAAAACAAGCCAATTTGATTAAGGCCTTATCAAGAGGATACTTAAAATAGCAATTGTTGCTTAATTAATTGTAGCCTAAGATGCATGATTACTCGCAAAATATACTGAACCATCCCACTGACTGGGCAAAATGGGGTGCTTGAGTTCATTATTTCATTCTTGGTTGAGATTCTATCATATTTATTCACCAATAGCAGATATTTATGCACATGAATTGTAGGCCGATGCACCTGTTCAGCTAAATAACACAGGCAGTTCTGAAGCTATAAAAGCAGCAGGACCAAACCTGGATTCTAACAAATGCTTCAGTTGTATACATTGCTATCCAGCCATAGCTGGCAATTTAACACAAGTAGAAAATGGCAAAAAGTTATCAGCAGGACCAACAAACTGATCCAAAAAAACAATCAGCCCATCAGTTCAATACCACCAAAGTGTTTTCTTGCTAATCTTTAAACCTGGTTTCCCCATAAAGTTAATTTTGCATGTGAAAACATGTCAAACTGAAACTAACATTAAAATATATGCCACACTCTCTAGCTGCCCCAAATGATGGTACATTATACAGTGGTACCTCAGCTCACGAACGCTCATGAACTAAATTGGTTCGCAAACAAAAATTTTGTAAAAATTCTGACTCAGGTCATGAACTCTGCATTGGGTGGCGATCGTGATCTTGGCCATCCCCCTCCCCTCAGCAAGATCACGCCCATCTCCCCCCACCAGTGCACCCACAATCACACTTGTCTCTCCTCCCCAGCGTGCCGGGATGAGGGGCACATGCAGGGATGAGGGGGCGCGATAGTGGTCATGCTGGGGGGGGGGGGGGAGATGCCCACGATCTTTTTGTCACTTTGCTTTACATTTTTCTGATTTAAAAAAAATAGTTACAGAACGGATTAAACTTATTTACACTGAACCTTATGGGGAAATTTCACTTGGCTCACAACCAATTTGGGTCACAACCAGAGTCCTGGAACAGATTAAGTTTGTGAGCCAAGGTACCACTGTATATTTTTGTATGGCAAGAGCCCAATGCAATCCACTTGGGAAGAGGATCCAGAAATGAAGATTCCCAAACTGATCAGGGAGAGGAATCTAATCTAAGTGGAAAAGACCAAGACCGCATGATATAAGGAAAAGTCAGGAAAGCCAAAGCTGCCCCTTTTCCTAGGATAAGCATGGTAGAATGGAATCCCATAAAAATATATGAAACAAACCATTAAGCTTCTGGAAATACTTTTCAGATATACTTAAAAGAAGACCACATAAAATATAAACATTTTGAATAAGGGGATATTTACCTTGCCCTATAGACTTAACTTCAAGTTTTTAATGAAAAGTACATTTGGGAAGGGAGCATAGAGTAGAAAATTTTGCAGGCACTTTGGGAGATCTCTGCAGGGCTCATGTTGGGGAACCCTTTTCTAAACCCTTTGCTTCTTTTGTTGCTGTGCCAAAGGAGAAAAAGCATAAAGTATAGATAGCCTGAACCATTTGTTATATAAATACCCTGGTGATCACTGTTGAAGTGTTTGTCCCTTCAAAGCAACAGAAAACTCACTGTGGCTTGTTTACACCATTAAGACAGAACAGATCAATTTTCTCCAACCTGATGAACTCCAGATATTTTGAATTACAATTTTCACGATTACCTGGCTAATGAAAGTTATAGCCCAAAACATTTGGAGGGCACCAGTTCAGGGAAGGCAAAACATCACATTGTTTCACATGAACTGAGAAACATGTTAGCTTGCATGACACCAAAATATGGTTATCAGTTTTTCATAACCAATATATATCATCCTCTGAATGGGAAGAGAAAATGCTCAATGTCTTAAAACTTACCTTTGAGTTTGTGATCCAGGTATTCCAGCATGACCCTAATCAGCTGGATTACTGCAAGAATTAAAGAGCCAAATGCTAGGGAACCTGTATGATATCTAGTAGAAAATAAAATTGCATTATTTAGTTATATGTGTATTACTGGACAGATAGCACTTTTCTACATGTGACATTTACTGCGTGCTCTTTATTCCCTACTCAGAGTCATTTATGGCTTCTTTGCAACCCTCCAGTTTAGTTTCTGCTTGTAATCAGAACATCTGACTTTCAAGATTATTTTACAGCATGATAAAATGGGGTATTAGTGAAAAAAAATGCTGTTCCGTTTGTACCATTCCACTATACCACACAGTCACCTAAAGATTACAAGGCAGAAAAGCACTACACTCTTTGTATAGTGCTCAGATCTCAATTCTGCCAAAAAACTGAAAGTAGATGCAGCAGACTAACAGCCTCATGTGGAAATGCCCATAGTTGTGAAAAAATAAGAAAGATTCCTGAAGGTGGGGAACCTAGCAAACGCAGCATCCCACCACTTTAAATCATCTTTAAACTGATATATTGATGATGCATGAAAAGTATTTTAAAATGTGAATTTCTATCTTGCTCTTATATGTAAGTTTAGTGGATACTATGGTTACTTTTAAAATACCTTATATAAAAGAACAAAGGGGCAGTACTGAAAAAAACTAAGGTAAAATATACATGTACCATGTATTGCATTTTACAATGATTTTAATATAAAACCTACTTTTATAAAACTTACACACCTTCGAGGAAGAGCACATTTCTAAAAGTAGGTTCTACTTACAAGGCAGGTTTGTAATGCTATAACTTACCGTATTGCTCGTCCAAATGAAGAAAAGAGCGGGCATGGTGGAATGTCAGCAGGTTTCCTAAAGGCCCAGTAGTAAGAGGCAAAGGCACCAGCAAGGGTACACTGACCCAGTGCAATTGCAAAATTTACCAGCCAAAGAAAGACAAACACATTGATGATTTGAAGGACTAAGATGTATCTGTGGTACAAGCTTTCTCCTCCATAGAAAGCAAAAGTACACTGGGCTCCTGGACATAGCTTGGTCACATTGGTGGTGTTGAAAGTCTATTTTTCAGCAAGAGAAGATACCATCAGCAGGAGGTGGTGCTTTAGTGCAAAGTCAAAATTATTAACATATTATTATTTCTAACTAGTCATTAAACAAACATGCTTAAAAAGAGTTCTGAAGATGTTTGCCAGTGGTCTGTGCTGCCCAGTATCTTCTTCCTAGTACTAGGGAGATACAATTTTGTCAGACTTTTTCTAATGGAACTAATAAATTAACCAAAAGTACTTCTGAAACTTGTCTGCTCTGAAGTAACCCACAATGAATTCAGTTGGATATCTTCCCAGGTAAATGTGTATAGGATTGCAGCCCCCTTGGTTAAAAATGGGGAAAATCAGTTCAGATGTATATTAGAAGTAGGAAATTCAAAAATACATTGCCTTTAAACTTGACAGTGCAACTAAATAGGCTACCAATGAACAGCTAAAATCTGCACAGGTTTTACAAAAAAGATAATGTACACTTACCTCTGGGTAACAGGTCATATTTGTATATATGCATAGGCTTTGATCAGCCATGACTTTGTATACAGGTTCCCCTGATGTTGCCAGGAAGCTTGATTTAATTGGGTTAAGTAGGAAACAGAATCATAGAATCCCTTCCAGACATAGAGACACAGCATACAACATGTGGCACTAATAGGAAAAGCCCTAGGGAATATAATTTATTTCTGTATTTTCATGTCTAGCATATGATAAGATGCCACACTGTGCAAGCACTTTCTATAACCCTGTTTGCTGTGCAATTGTTTGCAATTTATCAGGAGTAAAATAGTGCCACCTTTTTGTTTGATATCAGCAACAGATATGGGAGTAACCTAGGAATAAGCACATGGTGATTTAACAAAGTTCCTATACGAACACCATAGGGAAAGACATTGAGCAAGTATGGTGGGGAGAAAAGTCCTAAGCTAATGATTTTAATGAAGAGCTACCAGCATTAATCTTACATCATGCTTTAATCCAAATATAAAGAGGTCTCCAAAACTGAGATTTTTGATAAAGCTTTCACCCAGAATTTGTTACTGAAAAGAATAATGAACTGGGGAACCTATGAAGGGAGCGTGTGAGAGACAGAAGTAGGGGGAGGGGAAGAGGGGGAGAGAGAGAGGTGAAGATATTGCAATAATTAAGTAGTTAATGAACAGTTGACTTTTGTAGGGAACTTTCACTCAATCTTATACTTAGAATCAACAGAGTCCAACCCAGTTCCCTAACTTTCTGCACTTAAAATGAGCATAATCATCAAGGTCAAATAGAGCAGAGCAACCTGAATCAACTAAACTACAATATTGCCCATGGGTTCTTCTCAGTATAGCTTCTTCTGGAGGTAATAGGGATTTTCTGGAACTCCTGATTTAGCTATCAACTGGCATTTGTGACCTTGACTCAAAAAAGGATACACAGCTGTCACTGCCCAGTAAGAAATGCAGATAGCAATAAGAATGAAGGTGATGACTGGATAAAATAATGTAGACATGATGTAGCCAATAGCCCTAACAAGGAAAAATAAATATATATTTGTAAGCAGTGGATATCAAAATTCAGGATCTTCATTGTGATGGCCATCTTGAATCTTTTGAGAAATCTTAATTCTTTTGTTTGATTGTGTAACATTTCCCTTAGTAAAGTATTTTAAACTGTTATTTCCTGTTTCCTATTTCTTCTCTAACTATATTCCAATTTTATTTTGTAGAACTTTAAATTGCTTTACAGAATAGATTATCCTCCTTAACAGAGTTTACAATAGTTCGTAAAACGATAATCAGTAAAATGGCATAAGATCATGAAATAACAGCACTGAAATACTAAAACATAATAAGATCACACAGAGGGGAAAAAACAGAGATAATTAAGCTAGGCCAGAAATCAGACCAAAATTCTAACAGCAGATAAAAATAAAATTACAATAGCAGTGATAAAGTAGTTGCAGTGACTGGAATGAAAGCTCATTAAAGTCTGTTTAAAGGTCTAAAAAGAGTAAAGATATATACCTGGGAAAGGTATTCTAGAGATTGCAAGACATGACAGAAAGGACCCTATACCTGATACTTGGCAGCCTAACAACTCCTGCTAATGGACCAGAGAGAAGGGCTTCACCTGCTAGTCTTGAGGTTCAGGCAGACACATGAATCCAAAATCATGTAGAGCTTTAAAAGTTCATACCAGTTTCATAAATAACTCCCATAGGGGCAGAGTTAGTCAACTAGACAAAGTTGCAGTCCTATTTAATTGTCCCCTATCTGCCAGTGAAGCAAAATCTAAGCCTGTTTAATTGAGTCTGAGCTCCATTTGGAGATTTAGACCTAGAAATCCCGCTAAATCTCATCTAGGTTTGGCTACCAAACAGAGCAGCACTGCTTGTGAGGAAGAAGTAACTGCTTAGCAATTATAAATAGCCAAATGAAGTAAGTTGATTTGGTTTGACTGGTTGATTGAGCATTTTTGTTTGTGAAATATCTCCATATTCCTTTAAGAGACAAACTCCAGAAGACTAACTGTACTTGCAGGCAATTCTCTTCTAGGTCATTCTGAGCTAATTACATGTTTCTACCTTTTATCTGCCATTTTTCTTTTATAATTTAGAAAAGCACAAAATCCCATCTATCCATTGAAGTTTCAGTACGTGGGTGACTCCAAATTGATGGAAGATGCAAGCACTCAAGTTGTGACCATTTTCAACTTGAATTTCCATGTAGTTTTAATCCTTTTCCTGCTATCTACACACCAGTGCCGCTTCCTCAGCTGGCTCCCTGCGTTTGGCGCCAATTGCATATAGACAATCAGCTGTACCAAGTTTATACACATTGATGGCATTGCTTGTGCATACAGTTAACTGCTTATATAAAAATTGCATATCACCATGGAAGGAAGGTGTATTATCCTGATATGGCCTTCATTTATGAGGGAAATATACTCTATACATGCTTTTTAATTATTTCACATAGTTAAAAGCTGTGCTTTGACTCAAATTTGCATTTAACAGTAGTTCTGCATAGATAAATTATGACTTGTGCCAGAAATCTCATTGAGTACCTTTTGAGTCGTTGAACAAAAGTATCACCTTATGCTATTTAAGAAATAATCACCACAAATCAGTGGTTTTCAAGGGATTAATGTTAGGTCTGTTCATTGTTAGAGAATTCATAGATAATTTATTCTAACAAACTGCTTGTTAACTGCAATAGATTGCAAGTACTTTATCAGCAATAGAAGCTGCTATTTCATTGAAAAAATAGTTAAATGGAGCTGGGGGAAAATCATTTAGCTTTAGTCATTAGGAACATATTTTCCAGGACCTTGACTATGGGGCATGGTGTGCTGAGCTCATGATAAATATGTGCAGCATTTATTTTGAATCATTATGCATAAATATTGGAAAGTATTACCCTCAAATGACCTTTGAATATAGTTGTAGACTATACGGCATTATTACCTCCCACTAGGAAGTTTATGAATCGCAGGAATGTTTCTGTTTGACACATATTTGAATAAAAGTATCTTAATGTATAACGTGGTTAGGTATTGTAATGAATAGTGGTGTGGGGTGAAATTATAAAGTGCAGTCTATTTTGGCAACAAATAATTTCTAATCTGCATGTTTATAGCTTTAATGAAAAGGACCTAATACATAGTGAAATTACCAAGCTCCCTTATTGTATAACAGCCCCATATTTTGATACTAGCAGCTTAAGAGAAGATGGTAAGCTCCAATGGAAGGTACAGGCACATATTCACATTCTAGTATTGGTGTGATCAAGCTGTTACTTGCATAATGTTTACGGCAGTAAGAAATTTATGCACTTACACACTCATTCACAGGGACATTGGGACAAACCGCCCCCCCCCCCCCCCAGTTCTCACTTATAGCAACAGCATTACAGGATGCAAAATTAAGTAACTGGTCGAATGGCTCACAGAAACCACCAAAGAAGTAACATTCCTTACATGAAAGTAAGTACCTGAAAGGCAAGAAAATGCAGCGGTGGGACAATACCTCTTGGTACTCAGCTCCTTTAGCTCTCTAGTGCTTCTCTTACTAGCTAACCCTTAGATGCATTGGGTTTAAATTGCACACTTCAGGAACTTCTTCTACTTGAGACTTACTCTGTAACCTATACTGCTGAATAAAGCTGCTGAGAAAATAATCCAGAAGCCTGGAGTATATAATCATTAACACAAAACACTCAACTGTATTTTCAGTCTCATCTAATCCAAAAACAGCAATAATCAACAAAGCCCCTCCTCATTTTTGCATTACCAAAAGTGATTAGGCTGTTGATTACAGGAAGAGGCCTTTTCAGTGGAGGCCATACTACTCCAAAATCAACTTCCATCAGGAATTCTTAGGTGTCTTCTTTGTGGATCTTCAGGAAGGCTATGAAAACCCATTTTCTTTCATTAGCATTTTCATAATCAGTACTTCAAACCTTTTATTGGTGTTACATATTTTATATTGTTTTATTGAATATTTTTTCAGTTTTAATTGTACATTGTTGTATTGCTTTTATCTAGTATTAGGAAGATTCTACCCTTAAAAACAGCCTACAAATAATTTTAACCAATTTTTGACAAATTTGACAAAATTACTTCAGGGACAACACTCTGAAATTCAGTTCATCAAAGATTAGAGATGGGGTTGGCAGCTTTTATTGAATGTCTGCCTGCTGTAAATGGGTCTGCCTTCTTTAAATGGGTCAGAGTATGGTTGAAATTAGGGTGGGTGCTTTGATTCAGCTTAGCTGCAGTAGCCAAGGGTGCCTTCTTTTCAGTTATAACTGATATGCAGATTGCAGTCCTTCCTGATGTTTTTGTGAACAGCATTAATCATACTAGGATAAAGGTACCCTTGAATTATAGAGAATTCAAACTATGTCTGCTATTCTTTGACCGGGAATATACAGAAATACAGTATTTCACACTCATGACTGACCCTGCATGATTTATTTGGGATATTTCTAGGCCGTCCAATCACTCTGTTTCTCTGGACAGCTCACAAAACATCAATTGCATTGATCTACAATATCTTCCCATGTACAATTTACAAACCAGTGTGGACTGAGCTCTTCATGTGCCCGCTTGATAATGCAGATCTCGACTTCATCGGATTTCTTCTCCTTTCTGGAGGGAAATTCTCCAGACTGCATAGTCAAATGCTGAGTATTCAAGCAAAGGGAAATGGTTCATACTCACAAGACTCTGCATGGAGCAAGGGAAGTTCTGTCTCCTTCACTGTGGCTTTTTAGTGCCACTATTTAGTTTTAGTTGCCACAATAGCCAACACTATTGGCTAAAAATATGAGCCAGAGCATATATTCATATATATGCACTGAAATATATGGGAAGTATTTTAAATCATACCATATGAGAATGAGACTGAAAGATACTCATTTTTCCAGTATGCCTACCTGCTACCTTCCTTCAAAAGTGCAATGGCGATCTGGATTCGGTTTCTCAGAAATATTAACATGAGTGTAATGACAACTTCCACTATGCAAAGTAGTATCACTGAAAGTAAGAAAATGAAGTTCATCAACATGTATTTTATTTATTGATTTATTTTCTATGCCACCCAGTACCTGAAGCTTTATAACAGTATATTTAAAAACAAAATAAAATATAATCCTAAAAAGCTTACCATGGACAATTTACTTATTCAAATATTTATATGCCGCCTATAACTGCCAAAGGCCTTCCTAGGTGGCTTACAACTAAAAGTATATTAAAACCTATTAAAATAGTTAAAAACAGATACAATGTGTTGTATCAAGGCCCTAAGAGACATTACTTTAAGAAGCAATTCTTTGTAGTTTATGCTGGGAGTTGCAGGACATTTTCTGACTAAATATGTATAGGATTGCACTCTAAAACTATACCTATGTCTTAGTTTCATTTTAACTCTAGAGTAGGCACAGGAGGTCCACTCCAGATATTAGAAGCCTCCCTACCACCCATGCTAGGGTCCTGATCCAGATTAGTTCTTTTGCACCTAGTCTAGAGCAAAAATGAAAAAACAAACAAACAAAACCAAACAAAACAAATGACAAAGCTGCTAGTTATGCATTGAAAGCAGCATCATTTTTTACTCTTAAGGATGCACTTCCCACTTCCAGTTCTAGTGGTCTTGCTCACTGCCATGTATCAGGATTTAGTCTCTGCTTCATAACTGCTTGGGAGAGCAGGCTGCCAGTAGAATGTGTCTCCGCTGCCACCATTATATTTGTGTTATACTTCTGTGTTTGTAACAGCAATACTTGATGAGTCTTGGAGCGTATAATAGAGTCTGTGAAGAAAGTCATTAGTCTTAAAACAAAGCAATTAAATGCAGGGCTTTATCTGAAATGCCATTTAGGCATAATATGTTCTATTTAAGGAAATATCTCCTTAAGATTAGACAGTCATTATTCAGTGATTGCCTTTTACTGCTATTTTAGTTTATAGTATATGGAGAAGATAAATGGAATTGACATTTTAAAAGAAGTATCTGACTGAGACCTCTATTATCCCACTGTCATTCAAAAATTATTCCAAGATGATCAGGATTGTTATTTGAGAATATAAGGAGCCTGTGATAATAATTAAGCTCAGCAGAATCCACTAAGCGGAAACAGGAGGTAGGGATATGGAAATATGTGCAGCAAATAATTTTAAGATGCTTTCATTGAAAGTGGCTTGTACTCTAGTTATCTATGGACATTTTCCATAGGGTGGACATTTTCAGAGTGTGTATCTTCATGGATCACTACCTAGTCGTAGCTACTGGGGAAGAGCAGAGGGCTAGAACTAGTAGCACCAGCAAGAATGAAGTGACTGGGTCAAAGCTGAAAGGACACTCAGTTGCAGATATATCTGGTGGTGAAAGGAAAGTCCGATGCTGCAAAGATGTATACTCCATAGGAACCTGGAATGTAAGATCCATGAATCAAGGCAAGCTGGATGTGGTCAAACAAGGGATGACAAGACTGATCATGGATATCTTAGGAATCAGTGAACTAAAATGGACAGGAATGGGTGAATTTAATTCAGATGACAATCAGGGATACTACTGTTGGCAAGAATCCCTCAGAAGAAATGGAGTAGCCTTCATAGTCAATAAAAGAGTAAGAAAAGCAGTACTGGGATACAATCCCCAAAATGACAGAATGATCTCAGTTCCAATCCAAGGCAAACCATTCAATATCACAACAGTCCAAGTCTATGCCTCAGCCACTGATGCTGGAGAGGCTGAAGTTGACCGGTTCTATGAAGGCCTACAACACCTTCTAGAATTCACACCAAAAATAATGTCCATATTTTGTGGGGGATTGGAATGCTAAAGTAGGAAGCCAAAAGATAACCGGAATAACAGGCAAGTTTGGCCTTGGAGTACAAAATGAAGCAGGGCACAGGCTGGAAGAACTTTGTCAAAATAACACACTGGTCATAGCAAACACTGTTTTCCAACAACCCAAGAGACAACTCTACACATGGACATCACTAGATGGTCAACACAGAAATCAGATTGATTATGTGCTCTGCAGCCAAAGATGGAGAAGCTCTATACGGTCAGTAAAAACTAGACCAGGAGCTGACTATGGCTCAGATCATGAACATCTTGTTGGAAAAGTTAGGCTTAAATTGAACAAAGTAGGGAAAAAAAGTAGGTCACTCAGGTATGACCTAAATCATATCCCTGATGAATCCACAGTAGAGGTGACAAATAGATTTAAGGAATTAGATCTGATAGACAGAGTGCCTGAAGAACTATGGACGGAGGTTCACTTCATTGCACAAGAAGTAGCAACTAAAACAATCCTGCCCCTCCCAAAAAAAAGAGATGCAAGAAAGCAAAATGGCTGTCTGAAGCTTTACAAATAGCTGAGGAAAGAAGGGAAGCAAAAGGCAAGGTAGAAAGAGAAAGATACACCCAACTGAATGCAGAATTCCAGAGAATAGCTAGAAGAGCTAAGAATGCCTTCTTAAACGAACAGTGGAAAGAAATAGAAGAAAACAGTAGAATAGGGAGGACCAGAGATCTCTTCAAGAAAATTGGAGATATGAACGTTTCATGCAAAGATGAGCATGATAAAGGACAAAAATGGCAGGGACCTAACAGAGGCAGAAGAGATTAAGAAGAGGTGGCAAGATTACACAGAGGAACTATATAAGAAAGACCTTAATGTCCCTGATATCTATGATGGGGTGGTTGCTGACCTCAAGCCAGACATCCTGGAATATGAAGTCAAATGGGCCTCAGGAAGTCTTAGCACCAACAAAGCTAGTGGAGGAGATAGTATTCCACCCGAGCTATTCAAAATCCTAAAAGACGGTGCAATAAAAGCACTACACTCAATATGCCAGCAAATTTGGAAAACTCAACAGTGGCCACAGGATTGGAAAAGATCAGTTTACATTCCCATCTCAAAGAAGGGCAATGCCAAAGAATGTTCAAACTACCACACCATTGCACTCATTTCACATGCTAGCAAAGTTATGCTCAAAATCCTCCAGCAGTATGTGGACCGAGAACTACCAGAAGTACAGGCAGGATTTCGAAGAGGCAGAGGAACTAGAGATCAAATTGCCACCATATGCTGGATCATGGAGAAAGCTAGGGAGTTCCAGAAAAACCTCTACTTCTGCTTCATTGACTATGCTAAAGCCTTTGATTGTGTGGATCACAACAAATTGTGGTAAGTTTTTCAAGAGACGGAAGTACCAGACCATCTTATTTGTCTCTTGAGAAACAAATGCGGGTCAAGAAGCAACAGTGAGAACTGGACATAGAACCACTGATTGATTCAAAATTGGGAAAGGGGTTCGGCAAGGCTGTATACTGTTGCCCTGCCTATTTAACTTGTATGCAGAATACATCATGAGAAAGGCGGGGCTAGATGAATCACAAGTTGGAATTAAGATTGCCTGGAGAAATATCAACAACCTCAGATATGCAGATGATACCACTCTAATGGCAGAAAATGAAGAGGAACTAAAGAGCCTCTTGATGCAGGTGAAAGAGGAGTGCGCAAAAGTTGGCTTGAAACACAACATTAAGAAAACTAAGATCATGGCATCCGGTCCTATCACTTCCTGGCAAATAGATGGGGAAGAAATGGAGGTAGTGACAGATTTTATGTTCCTGGGCTCCAAGATCACCGCAGACGGTGACTGCAGCCAAGAAATTAAAAGACACTTGCTCCTTGGGAGGAAAGTTATGGCAAATCTAGACAGCATACTACAATGCAGAGACATCAACCTGCTAACAAAAGTGTGTATAGTCACGGCTATGGTTTTTCCAGTTGCAATGTATGGCTGTGAAAGTTGAACCATAAGGAAGGCTGAGTGCAAAAGGATTGAGGCCTTTGAATTGTGGTGCTGGAGGAGACTCCTGCAAGTCCCTTGGACCACAAGGCGATCAAACCGGTCAGTCCTAGAGGAGATCAACCCTGACTGCTCTTTAGAAGGCCAGATACTAAAGATGAAACTCAAATACTTTGGCCACCTAATGAGAAGGAAGGACTCACTGGAGAAGAGCCTAATGCTGGTAACGATTGATGGCAAAAGAAGGGGACGGCAGAGGATGAGGTGGCTAGATGGAGTCACTGAAGCAGTTGTTGTGAGCTTAGGTGGACACCAGGGGATGGTAGAGGACAGGAAGGCCTGGAGGAATGATGTCCATGGGGTCACGATGGGTCGGACACGACTTCGCAACTAACACCTTCTGTCCAGCAAATTTGTGTGTGCACGCACACACACACAGGGTATGCCTATGTGTCAATTTTGTGTATTCATGTTTGCCAACTTTCACTTAACCCGCTGGGAGGTTGCCAGGCTCTTCTTGTCCAGAAAGGGTGGCAGCTTTTATTTCAGCCAAGTCTGAAGGAAGGTCCAAGCCCACCTGTGCTTCAAGCAGTGCTTTAACCTACTGACCAAATGACATAGACAGTCCAGGATCCCCTGACCTGTGTATGTGATGTTTCAAGGGACTGCAGCCTCTCCAGAACAGATTGAATACTACTCAGCTGGAAAGAGAAACCACCCACAAGACAGTACAGCTTGTCAAAGAATGGGGACAGAATATTTGAATGTGAAGATGTTACTTTCATTATCTTTAAACATTTGACTATATATTTATGTGGCAATATAGCATTTTACTTAGTTTGTATTACATTATTTTTCATGACTTTTATACTATTGTTTTATGTACTAGAATCCCAGTTGGGAAGATATTATATTATCTTTAAAGTCCTATTTAGTTGTTTACGTACTCTATTTTATGTTTATATTGGTTCCACTTACCCACCCATCTTTAATGCCTGAAGAACAGTTTGCTACTTCAGTCTCCAAGACTTATACAGAAAATTCTTCAACTCTTGCATAGAGAATAAACTGAAGGTATATATACAACATTTCACATAACCTTCACTTTGGATAATCAAACACAGAACAGTGCCTGATGCATCTGAAAACTATCTATGAAAGAAGAAAGTGCAAAAGCAGAAAATTGCAGGATAGGCCCAATAACCATGTGGAAAATGTTTTATGCAAATTGGTTCCCCATGGCGACGTTCTCATTTTCTTCAGAAACAAATAGTCCCTACGGATGTGTGCTCATGTTTTAATAGGGAGTTGCATGATTTCAGAGTTTATAAAGGCTGATGAAACTGTAACATCCCCTATTTTTATATATACATGAGGTATTCAGTTTGCATTTATAGATAGAATTTTTAAAGTATAACTATGAGATGTTTTAAAGGGAGAGATATATTAAGAATCTGCAATTATTATTTGGGATTGATTTAAACAAAAATACCATAGGTGATTTCCTACTTAAATCTTCTGCATTACAGAAGAAATGCAGAAAAAATCTCTGGTTGGAAGAAGTTAAAATGTGCTGGGTTTAAAACAGTCAGATATGAATCTAAATTCAGCTCCAGTGCTTAATTCCAAAAAAGAAAGTTACTAGAGCTCAAACGTGTTCAAATTAAGTCTACCTGCTTCTTAATCCAAGACTGTGGGACCACAGTCCTGTGTGAAGGAAATGCACTATATAAATGATCAGGTATTTGTTGACCTTTCATTTTGCACTGCTGAGTCTTGGAACTGTGAATAGATTTCAAGCATGGTTCCGATCCAGTCTTGCTTTTAAAGTCACTTCAAATGCAGGATGTCCTCCATTAAATATTTTCTGTTAATGAAAACCCATCAATATTTATACATGCCCACCTAATTGTAAAACAGAACATTCACATATGTGGGATTTTTATATTTTCTCCTACACAGATATGCCACATAATGAGCAATTAATATGTAGACTCCAGTCAGCAAGGTAAGCACTATAAAACTTGCCGAAGCATGAGACAATGCCAGGCTTTAGTGCCTATCTCAATCCATGGAAGAAAATAGTTAAATTATATGACTACAAATTGGATGTCAAAATACAAACTTGCCATAAGATTCACTTACTAAATGTTAACCATGTTTGCTTCAATTGTAGATATACCCTGAAATCTGTCTGGAATCCAATATCATAAACAGTAAGGTCAGAGCCAGGTACTCCATGAAGATGGTGATATTCCCAGTAGCAATGCCAGATACCTTTTGAAAAAGAAGCAAGAGAAAGTAAGGTTGCTTACCTGTAACTATCATTTTTCAAGTGGTCACCTGTGCATTCACACATAGAGAGAAAAACGTGATCAGCGAGAGCTTTTACGTATAGTTCGCAAGGTAAGTTGGAGAAGAATTTCCCGATGCGCTCACGAAGGTGGTCGAAGAAGGACTGAAGTCTTGGCCAGAGCCCTACCCTCATAATGGCTGCTTTGGGGGCCAGGGTCTCACTGAATACTAATTAATTAGCTTTAGAATCTTCCCAAAAAACCACTCCACACATGCACAAAGAGCCCATATGTGCGATGCACAGAGACCATGAAGAATAATGGGTTGCACATGAAACATCATTTAGATTAACTCCCGACTCAGAGGCTGGGCCCAACCTGCCTTGCTTCCTCTCCTAGCTGAAATCACAGGTCTTTTGTTTGTTTGTTTGCTTGGCTCACCATGGCCAGTACCCTTTTAACTTTGGGGCTTTTTTCAGAGATTGCATTCCACAATTTCTGATTTGACAGCCAGACAGAGCCCCTTTAAAGTGCTCAACCAGGAGATGTCACTGGCTGGCCATCCTCTGAAGATGCACCCCAAATGTGTGCAATTTTTTCAGTAAGTATTTTTAAATAAATTGTTTCATTCAGACTGTGCAAGTATGCACTCGCTTAGACCTGAAAAAAGGAAGCCTCAGCTGGGTCAATGGCCTGGAGACCAACCCTGGACAATGAATAAAGGAGATCCAAACAGGTTTTTCTTCACTTTAGCTGAATGTGTCCCCATCAACACCCAGAGTATTGACAGCTAGCTATCAAAACCCACAGTGGCTTTAAACAGAATTCTGTTTTGCCCAGAAAAAGGGATTGGATGCACTTTTGCATCCTCTTGGGCAGTAAGAGTTTCAGGAAAAAGTGGAAAAATGTGAATCACTCTGAGAAGTATTGGAAAAATATCTTGTTGTAAAAGGGATGTAAATCCCACCATCCACAAGATCATTTGTGCCTTTTCTTTCCTCCTCCACAGCTGTCACAGCAAAGCAAAGGTGGTGGTGAGACCTGTTTGGGCCTTTTCTGAGTTAACATCCAGGGTTGGTATCAGCATTGTTGGGCTGGGTATCAGTAACATGATAACCAAACCATGGCTTGCTTAGCCATGATGAACTGTCCTATCATATAGACCTACCACTGTGATCCAAACCATAGATGACCTCAAACAGATAAGTTTCCTTCAGAAAACCAATATCCATCTTTGGCAGGGATATTCATGACTTACTTCTTTGAAAACTCATGGAACACCCCTTTTCATATGTTCCTATCCATGCTCTAAGGCAGGTATAGAGAACTTTTATTTTTGGAGGAGACAAATGACTCTGACATCATGAGGTCCTTTGCTGAAGCATCAGGTGGATTCTACACCGCACCCTTCAAATGGGAAAAATGCTTCATTGTGCCTGGGCTTTCCTGGTCAAAGACACCGTTCTAGCCTAAGTGCCAGTTGTTTTGGCCACGATAACATTGCCCACCTTGTATTTTCAGGACTCAGGGCAGGTGAAACTGAGCTGGCCTCATTCCCTTCACTCTGCTTTCAGCCCAGTTCTATTGCTCTTGACTATGCTGCATGCAGACTCTCCTTAGAAAATTTTGCCTGTTTTCTATATAAGCCCTCCCCAGACTGGTGGCCTTCAGAGGCATTTGGGCTGCAACTCCCAGAATTCCCATCCAGCAGGGCCATTGACTGGGAATTCTGGGGGTTGCAGTGCAAATGTGTCTGGAAGTCACAAGGTTGAGGAACACTACATTATTGTCTTTTCAGTATTAGATGCCAAATTACAGCCTTTCAGGTAGGACCTAAAGACTGCTAACCTTGGACTAGAATTGAGTTGGGACTTTCAATTATTAATGTTATGTTTTTTCTTATTCTAATTGATTTTCTTTTCTTTTATTGTTTTAAAATTTTGTACATCCCTTTAAAGCATTTATTCTAAACAACAGCTTATAAGAGAGCCAGTGTGGTGTAGTGGTTAAGAGCATGGGACTGGGACTCAGAGGATCTGGGTTCGAGTCCCCGCTCGGCCATGGAGCCAACTGGGTGACTTTGGGCCAGTCACAGTCTCTCAGCCCAACCTACCTCACAGGGTTGTTGTTGTGGGGATAAGATGGAGGAGGAGAGATAATGTAAGCTGCCTTGAGCCCTTTGTAGGAAAAAGGCAGGATATAAATCGAATAAATAAATAATTTACATATAATCTGTTTTCTTCCTTTCCTCCTTTTCTTTAGTTTTGAAAGTGATGTTTCATGTTGCATTTATTACTGAGTTTTTTAATTATTGTTATTCTATTATTATATTACAATTTTAACTTTTTTGTAAGCCATCCTGAGGTTTTTTTTTTTTTTTTTGCAAAGGACAGGATAAAAATGTTTTAAATAAAAAAAATCACCTTATGATTCACTAAATAACAGCTTATGTTTGTACACTGCCCTGAGAGCCCTATAAAGGACTTCTGTTGTGCTTTATAAATTTATAAAAATAATTCTTTTTTAAAAAACAAGAAAACAAATTATGCTTTCTGTTCTGGCAGACTTTCTAAGAAGTATCCTTTTTGATCTCTAGTTTGATTTTCACTTTTGCTCCTAATACCTATTTAGGCTTTTGTAATATTATGTTTTGTGCATTGTGCTGGTATGTGCTTATTGGATTATTATGCTGTGCATGATTTTAAATAATTTCTTGTATTATATTTCTTATGTTTTAATTTTTATAATGCATAGAGATAAACTGTTTTCTAAAACAGTTAAGAAATTGAGCAAGTAAATACAAGGGAAAGCAAAACAAGGGGAAACAAACCCTACCAAATCTGATCTGGAGCAATTCATTCCAAGCCCCAAGAACAGAGATCATTCATACCAAGAGTAAGATATAAATCATGTGTGGATAGCTTGTGAGCCTTCAGCTTTTTTGTCCTACAATATTTAAGAACCCTAGTCAGAACAGTCAATGGCACAGAATTGCAATTAATTGATATCGACTTATTAATAAGAATCGCCTTTTCCCTCTGTATAAGCAATAAGTAGTAAATCTAAGATCTGTATGCAGCACAGCTTAACAAGCAAATAATCAATATTTACCATATCCAATTATCCCAATTACACCAAAGATGAAAATCCAGAAGAGAATCCCTGCTATGAACCTCAAAAGCACAAGGAAGAACAAGCTGACAACCATTGCAATAAACAGACCTCTGGAAAACAAAGAAGGAACAGGTTAAAACATCAGCAGCCAGTAACTTGTCCCCTCACCCATCCCATTTTTCCTCATGTAATTTACAAACAAGAAAGCTGCTGAGAAAGATGTTTTTCTCAACCAGGATTAAGGCTCCTGTGTTAACATTTAAATATACATTGAAATGACCAAGGCACTATAACTACAGGTATTAGAAGCACTGTATTTACACAGGGCACAAAGCGTGGCCTAGAATTCAGGTACAGAGAAAACCAAATCCTTAAGCCTAAAATGGAGAGAAATTTTGTTTACCAGTGGCAAGTATGTTCCACTCCTCCTAAATATGATGCCATGGAGTGCCAGCTGTTCTTCCTAATTACTTGGGTGCCATTTTCCAGGACAATTAGGGAGCAGCATGACATATAAGTCATGTCAAAGATGGGAATGTAATGAACAGAACTGTCAGAGACTTCCCCCAGTCCTTTTTCTGTATGCTGTATCATCACAATTCTGCAAGTGTGAGATGCGACCAGCTGTAAGAACTTACATTAAGATCCAATACCAAGAACTGGAATAGTCTTCAAAAATTTTCATCCCAACTGATCTTGAATCAAGAACATTATTGATGCCACTTTAAAAACAAAAGGAGGAGAGGTTTTAGTTTATGTAGCATGCATTCCTTCTTTAATCTAAGCAACGAAAAGGCTTTTAGTATAATAATGAAATGCATGTTATATTATAAAACAATTTCAAAGCAGTGGTACCTTGGCTCACAAACTTAATCCGTTCTACGACTCTGGTTGTGACCCAAATTGGTCGTGACCCAAGTCAAACTTCCCCATAAGATTCCATGTAAATAAGGTTAATCTGTTCTGGCCCCTCCGAATGCGGCTGTGAGCTAGTTTTTGGTCACAAGCCAAGTCAAATTTCCCCGTAAGGTTCAATGTAAAAAAGGTTAATCCGTTCTGTAACTATTTTTTTTTTAATCAGAAATTTTGAAACGAAGTGACAAAGAACAACAAAGTACTGTACAGTACAGTGGAGAACACTAACCTAGGTGGGGGGGAGATTATTGTTTTGAGGGAGAGTCCCCCTCCATAAGGACATTGGGGAGATCTCTTTCAGGGGTTTCCTCTCTTTGTCTCTTAGCTGCAGGGTCAATTTTGGTGAAAAATCTGTCTATAGTCACTTGTTTTTTCCTGCGCTGCATAACCCTGCGGAAATGAGAGACCACGTTATCGTTCATCAGATTCAACACTCTGTTTGTTACAGTTATGTTGGGGTGGTGCTTCTCAAAGAAACCCTGGCATGGGCACGCTCCTGCAGGAAAGACGGGCGCGATCTCAGCCATCTCCCCTCCCTACAACCAGCACGATTATGGCCATCTCCCCCCCAACAAAAGTGGGGAGATGGCCAGGATCGCAGTCACGTTCATGCAGGGAAGACATTCGTGAACATGGGTGCGCTCCTGCAGGAAAGATGGGCGCAGCACAGCACAGCCGTGATCACACATGCGTTCCCTGCACGAATGCGACTGCAATTGTGGCCATCTCCCCACTCGGGGGGGGGGGGGATGGCTGTGATCTTGGTCACCACCCAAAGCGGAGTTCATGACCCAAGTCAAAATTTTCATGAAATTTTTGTTTGTGACCCAAGTCGTTCGTGACCCAAGGTACCACTGTATTTGCTTTACTAGGAAAATGAACATGAAATTTCATCGCCAATAATAAACTATGATTAAGATAGTGCAGCTGTGGGTCTATGCCCAAAACAAGCATTAGTTACAATTAGATTTTACAGAATTTTTAGTCATTTAAGTTGCAATCCTTTGTACGGTGCCCAAAACTAGGGCACTAGGAATTATTTCCACTGATCTCAATGGAATTTACTTCTGGGTGGACAGGTATAAATTGTGCTACTAAAATTTACATTCACACAGCTAAAATATAATAATGCATGAGATCAAAGCAGCATTGCTATTGCTAGTAGCAGCATCATGGTTACAATGACAGAACTTCCACTTCTGATAAAGCACAGTTTGCTGTGCCATGTAAACCTAGAAAACAGAGTGAAACCTGCTATGTCATCTCAACCTAGTTAAGAAAATTATCTTAACTACAGATAGCTTCAAACAAGTTAATTTCATACGATCTTTTATGAAAAGCTGGCTTGCCTGAAACTAACCATAGCAGTTAAGATCAAACGCAATTCTGGGTACTATACGAAATGGAGAGCAGAAAAGAAAGCTTCTTAACTTTCCTTGAGGCTGAGCAGGAAAAAGAGAAGAGAGCCTGGGAGGAAAGCTGGGCTTATTTATGTTGTATTCAGCATGGCATCCAAACACATTCTTTGAAAGAACCTGGGTTAAACGAATCTCTCTTCTTTATTAACTTGTGCTGCATTTCATACTCAAAAAAGTAAGACTGAGCATATTAATGTTCCCAATTGGTATCTCGTGGTGGAAATAACCCAGGAAGAAGCAGCAATGGCCAAGGGAAACCTGAAGAACTTCTTCCCTTCACCTGTCTTTATTCCAAACCCTACTTCCTCTCCTCCTGATAAAGCTTCTTAAAGAAAGGAAAAAGGCCACAACATGGAAAAACCATATACATTCGGAAGCAATGTCATTTGTCCCTAACTGAAATCAAGAGCATGAAAACTCATTTGTTTTAATCTAAAGATGGGTCCATGTGATTCTCTAAAAATCATTGGGGGTACATTCAAATCTGGCATACAAATTATTACGTGCCAAACAAATAAGGAAAAGTGATCAAGCAAACACATAAATACAGACATAATTCATACTTTGCAGCTTCCCTGAGATCAGTTACATTCCTTGTTTTTCCTCTTCCATCTCTGAAAGTAGTTTTATTGGCCACAGTGAGTACACCATTTTTAGTGGAGAAATCAGGGAAGCATCTCTTCAGAACTGTTAAAACAGGCAAGCAAGATTATAGCATAATTCATTTTCACTATAGTTAAAATTTCATTATTGTTATTTGATATAAACGCTCTAGAAAGATTTCACAGAATCATAGAACAGTAGAGTTGGAAGGGGCCCTGTTGCAGGACACCAAGTTACACCATCCCTCTCGGATGGCTGTCCAGTTTCTTTTTGAATATCTTTAAGTATGGGAGAGCTCACAATCTCCATTCCAGAAGTGGCAGGCATGGCTTGAAGAACGGAGATCGTGAGGCACAACAGAATTGGCAGGGGCACAAGTGTCCTGTTGGATACAGCCCTGTGAGAGTAATTTAAATAGCACAAAACTCAGATACTCACAAGGCCGACTTGGAATGATCATGGAGGGACAATCTTCATCACGCATTACTTGGGCCACAGACTGGAAACAAAAGAAAAAGTAGGATAAAAATAGTCATGGAATAACTGTTTCTATTAGCATTTATTTTGGGAGGTTATTTTAAAAATAAAACTTCTTTGATCAAGAGCTCAGTGGAGCATTTACATGAAAAATATGGGAGACCCAAGTCTCTCTGGCTTCCTGCTAAAATTAAAAACAAAGCAGTAGGCATCAAGGTATGTTTCCGAACACAGAATGTTTCAGCAAGTGGCTTTGTCCTTATCTTAGATAGAACAAAATTACCTTTTAACACAGCATAATTAATTTAAAGCTGCAATCAGGACTCAGTAAGGGGTTTGCAGTATGAGAAGAATATTAAAATAGGTTTTAAAAAAATATACAGACTTATGATGTCATTGCAGGGTTAATTAATTAATTCCATGACTAACACCCACTCCCTTATCCCATGAGTGAAATAAGCAACTGCAGATGAATTCCTATGCAAATCATATGCCTGCTAATTCATATATAAAACCTGAAAATAGTTACTCTCTTCCTCTAGGCAGCACACACACACAACCCTGTGTAGCCCACATGCATCTTCTGAAAACATTTTTTTTCTGCAAAGCAGCACACTAGCTGAAGCTTCCATTATATACCAGGTTAATTTCTCCAGAATGCCTCTGGACCCATGTAAAGACCATGTACTCACAACAGTTTCTCGCATTTCTAAATGTATCCATGGGTTGAAAATCCTTGGAGACATTTGTCATGGGGTTCTCAAGCCTAAAATAAATTGATCACCATTAAATAGCATAAGATCTGACTCAGATTTTTTGAGATACCCAGGACTCAGGACTGCAGCTTGATGAATCAACTGCAGCATTACCTGGACAGGCAGGGCCTGGCCAAGGTTACATTCTGGTAAGCTCTCAATTAGACTATTGTAATACACTCTACATGGGGCTGCCTTTGAAGACAGTCTGGTAACTTCAACAGGTTCAGAATGTGAAGCTATTGACAAAGCTATTGGCCGCCATCCACCGGCCACCTGGCTGCTCTGCCACGCCCAGCACGCGTGGCAGGAGTGCTCCGGACGAGGCAGGGCGTCGGAGGGCCGGCAGCTAGAAAGCCCCGCGGGAGGAGCGCGGCGACAGCAACAGCAACTGCGCCTGGCAGCCTACGCCGGAGGGGAGCCGCTGCCTCGCCGCGAAAGACCACGCCGCGCTGCCATCCACTGCCCACTTGGCTGCTCTGCCACGCCCAGCACGCGTGGCAGGCGTGCTCCGGACGAGGCAGGGCGTCGGAGGGCCGGCGGCTAGAAAGTGCCGGCGGTAGCCGGGGCCGGCGGCCAAAGGGCGTCAGCCAAAGGGCGGTCGCCGCCGTTTGGGTGGCCGAGCGGGGGGCTGGGTTGGCCAGGGGCTTTCGCTTGGCGATGGTAGGCCCTCCTGCTGGGCTGTAAGTTTTTTTAAATTGTTTTTATAGTATTTTAAATTGTTTTATGGAGTCGTCCCTGGCCATGTTGCCGCTTGTGTTTCCTGGGGAGCGCACCGGTGCCGCCATTGAGGTGGTTATGGGCAATGGATGTAGCAGCAGTGGGAGCTTAACGTGTCCGCATAGAAGAAGGAGGGACAGATGGTTGACACCTGTCCCTACTTCTGGTTTTGCTCCCAGCCAGATGGTGCCAGGTAGTCTCGTCAGTCACCCCTCAGGCCTGATGGTACTGTTGCTTAATGACAGGTCGGTCAATAACAAATCTGCCCTCATCCAGGACCTGATTGTGGATGAGGGGGCCGACCTGGCCTGCATAACGGAGACCTGGGCGGGAGGGGGGGG